GGACCTGTTTACCTCGGCTCCAGTGCTGGCACATCCGGATCCCTCTTTGGCATTCCAAGTTGAAGTGGATGCATCCGAGGCTGGGATCGGTGCTGTACTGTCTCAGCACTCGGGTACGCCACCAAAACTCCGCCCCTGTGCTTTCTTTTCTAAGAAGCTCAGTCCGGCGGAGCGCAATTATGACGTGGGGGACAGGGAGCTGTTAGCTGTGGTTCAAGCCCTGAAGGTGTGGAGGCATTGGCTTGAGGGGGCTAAACACCCTTTTCTCATTTTGACTGACCATCGTAACCTGGAGTACATCCGGGCAGCGAGGAGGCTGAACCCTCGCCAGGCAAGGTGGGCTATGTTTTTTACCCGATTTGTATTTAAGCTCACCTATAGACCAGGGTCACAGAACGCTAAGGCAGACGCCCTGTCCCGACTATATGACACAGAGGAGAGGTCCATTGAGCCCACTCCCATACTTCCGGAGTCTTGTCTGGTGGCACCGGTGGTGTGGGAGGTTGATGCGGACATCGAGCGGGCGTTGCGTACTGATCCTACTCCCCCACAGTGTCCAGAGGGTCGAAAGTACGTGCCGCTCGAGGTTCTTGATCGATTGATATATTGGGCTCACATGTCACCCTCCTCTGGGCATCCTGGTATTGGTCGGACAGTGCACTGCCTTAGTGGGAAGTACTGGTGGCCCACTTTAGCTAAGGACGTGAGGATTTTTGTTTCCTCCTGCTCGGTGTGCGCCCAGTGTAAGGCGCCTAGACACCTGCCCAGAGGGAAGTTACAACCCCTACCGGTTCCACAATGGCCGTGGTCTCACCTATCGGTGGATTTTGTCACGGACCTTCCCCCCTCCCAGGGGAACACGACGATCTTGGTCGTTGTGGATTGGTTTTCGAAGGCCTGCCATCTCATTCCCATGCCAGGTCTCCCTACAGCCCTACAAACTGCTGACGCCCTGTTTACACACGTCTTCCGGCACTACGGGGTACCTGAGGATATAGTGTCTGATCAGGGTCCCCAGTTCACCTCTAGAGTCTGGAGGGCGTTTATGGAACGTCTGGGGGTCTCGATTAGCCTTACCTCAGGTTTTCACCCCGAGAGTAATGGGCAGGTGGAGAGAGTGAACCAGGATGTGGGTAGGTTTCTGAGGTCCTATTGCCAGGACTGGCAGGGGGAGTGGTCGGGATATATCCCCTGGGCAGAGATAGCCCAAAACTCACTCTGCCACTCCTCCACTAACCTTACGCCTTTTCAGTGTGTGCTAGGTTATCAGCTGGTCCTAGCACCTTGGCATCAGAGCCAGATCGAGGCCCCTGCGGTGGACAAGTGGTTTCGGCGCTCGGAAGAAACCTGGAACCCTGCCCATGTCAATCTGCAGCGGGCTATCAGGCGGCAAAAGGCGAGTGCCGATCGCCACCGCAGTGAGGCTCCGGTGTATGCACCGGGAGATCGGGTCTGGCTCTCGACCCAAAACCTGCCCCTTCGCCTGCCCTGCCGGAAGCTGGGTCGGCGGTTTGTGGGGCCATTTAAAGTCCTGAGTATATTGAACGAGGTATGTTATAGGTTACAACTGCCCATTAATTATCGCATTAACCCCTCGTTCCATGTGTCTCTCCTCAGGCCGGTAGTAGCTGGTCCACTCCAGGAGAGTGAGGTACGAGAGGCTCCTCCGCCCCCACTGGACATCGAGGGGGCTCCGACGTACTCAGTCCGGTCCATCTTGGATTCGAGGGGTCGGCAGTAGCTGTGTTGTGCGAGTATTTGTTTCCTCCCTGTTAGGAGGTTTTTGGGTTTTTGTACTTTGATTACTGTGTACAGTAAAGTACGTCTGCCAGTGGCTCGGTGTCCTGCGTTTGACTTCGTTTACCACATACACGTCACCTTGACAGCATCTCTCTCCCAACAATTAATCAACATCTGACCAATCAGAATAGAGCTAGATAGAGCTAAGTAGAAGCTTGGTAGATAATCAATTACCATTACTATTCTAAACGACTGATTCACCATATGTTACGATGCTTGTAGAAAGTAATATGCTGAAGAATCATAACAAAATGATTGTATCAATATCTGTCATGTAAGTACACTACCAGCTAAGGAGTAATATGTTGTGATGGAAGTGTGTTCCATAACTAGACTATGTCGTACATGACATTAGTCTGTTAGGTCATTTTGACCCCATGTTCTGCATCCATTGTAATATTCTTATTTACTTTGAGGTTTTGTTTGGTTGATGGATGCCCTCTGGTCCTTGGCATGCTGTTTCACACTGCTGTTTTTATTTATTGGCGTTCCTTCTGACAGCTGGGGAAGGGAAACACTTCCAACACAACATATTACTCCTTAGCCGGTAGTGCACTTACATGGCAGATACAATCATTAGTTCTTTGACTCTGCTCAGTCAGGGCCTGATCTCCAAGATCACTCATATTTTTGTACCGATTGAAATGTTTTCAATTATCACTTCATTCACTTGTAACTGTCTCTTCTCCTCATTCTGTGTCTAGTAAGGGCTGGTGTAATTAATATATTTCATTGTCATGGAGACAGCTTGTTTGTATTAAAACTCCACTCTGTAAATATGAGACATGACCTCTGATCTCCAGTGTCCCACCATTTGAGACTTGGTGAACAACAATGAGTCTCAGTAATTATATCTTAGTGAACACTCTAAATATAATTAATTTCAACATAAAACGATATTGAACACTACATAATGTAACACCTTCTGTAATGGAGGATCCAGGCATTTCTGTGATATCTATGCACCACACCTGTAAAATAGGATAGGAGTTCTACCTCAGTCACCCCAACATATGGGAAAACGTTTTCGACATCAGCCATCTGACTGCAGGGCTACTACCCTTTCATTCAGGCAGTTAACATGGAGAGGATTTGAAAAGTTCAAGCCTCTTCTCATCATAGAGATGCTTTGAAGTTATGAGTTTCTCTCTCATGTCTCAATCACTTTGAGTGTAGCTAGTATAGATTTTCTGCAGTTCCACGTACAGGAGGACCAAAAGAGAATACCTGCTTAAGTGCCTAGATTTATGAAGGATCCTTAAAAGAGCCGCTCATGCTGCTGCCTGCTGTTGGATCGCTCTCTGGATGCAACCCAAATGGCACCCTATTCCCTTTATAGTGCACTACTCTAGACACAGCCTCTTTTTACTCAGGCTGAGCTGTGAGCTGCAACAAAACACATTCATCACTCTGAATTAAAACATGCTGGACATTAAAATGATTAATTCAAGGAGTCAGGTCAAGAGCCCGGAGAGTAAATCTCCTATTGGTTTATTTACTGCCCTACTGCATACTGTCAAATCAAATCAAATGTATTGGTCACAAACACATGGTTAGCAGATGTTATTGCGAGTGTAGCGAAATGCTTGTGCTTCTAGTTCCGACAGTGCAGTAATATCTAGCTGTCAGTAGGTGCTATAGGTGGGTGTGGTGTGGAATCAGGCGCAGGACGCAGAAGATAAGTCCAACAAAGACTTTTAGTAGAGCACACACAAAAACACAATCCAACAGCCCGGAGGCGAGAAAATGCGCACACAGGCGTAAACAAAAGGGCGCACTAAACATGTGCGAAAATCCTCTCCTAAATACAAAGGAGGCAAGCTACAAATAGCGCACCGAAAAGGGTAGCGCACCAACACAACATAGGAAACAATCACTCACAACACCTGACAAACACAACGAGAACTTATAGGACACTAATGACACTAAACGACAACAGGTGTACAATTCCAGACAAGACCAAACGAACATAGAAACATACAACGGTGGCAGCTAGTATTCCGGAGACGACGAACGCAGAAGCCTGCCCGAGCAAGGAAGAGAGGCAGCCTCGGCCGAAACCGTGACACTAGCAAGGAATATCTAACAGTTCCACAACAAATATCTAATGCACACAAATCTAAGTAAAGGAATGGAATAAGAATATATAAATATATGGATGAGCAATGTCATTGTCTTCAAAAAGGTCTGCATTAGAGCCCAGAGGGGTTGTGAACTATGTGTTGTCTGGTGTGTTATGCCGTTGCCATTTGCCAGTTGCCAAAGTATGTGTTCCTACTGTGTTCTCGACTCCTCTCAGGTCAGTTAGTCTGCTCTCATAGAAGGGTGTCTTTCTCTTTATTCAACAGACTTTACACTACATTGTACACTTTCATACCCAACATATGAAGACATATCAGATTGAGTCATTATATTGATTGTGATACAGTATATTGTACTTCTCATTAATGACTTAAAAGTGATGACAAGAAGAATCTAAATATAAGCAGCAAATCAGAATTGAACATAATATCCCTTTAATATTCTGCCCTCTGGTAAACCTCTATTTATATTTCACTTAAAATTTTTAATATATAAACATTTCAGTGCATGACTGTGAAATGTCGAAGACAAAACACACGGCAGAGCAATATTGAATAAAACACACACTTCCCCAACCTATTCAATACCCCACACTTCCCCAACCTATTCAATACCCCACACTTCCCCAACCTTTTCAATACCCCACACTTCTCCAACCTATTCAATACCCCACACTTCCCCAACCTATTCAATACCCCACACTTCCTCAACCTATTCAATACCCCACACTTCCCCAACCTATTCAGTAAAATCACAGTTTGCACTTCCTTATTATTACACAGCAGAATGGCACAACAAGTCTATACAGATCTATTTTAAAAGCTGCAGGCCAGGAGGACCAAGAGAGCACAGGCGAGAGTGGCCACATGGTGATGATGGTGGGAGACTGACACACTGCCAGACATATAGGCCCCCTGACCCCCACACTGGCGGCAGTCTTCCCCTCAGAATGAGCAGGCATCCATGCCATGCCTCCAATAGGACTGGTATGTCCTCACCGTCTTCCTCCCTGGGTATGAGACAAGAAAGTAAACAATTAGTTTACCGACTCAAGTCCACCAAGTCATTTCATGCCTCTTTTTGAATGTGTGTTAAAACTTAAGTATTGTTTTACAGGGCTAGTAGTAGCCATAGAGGAGAAGCGTTGCATCCTTGATGTTGGCAACTTTGAAGGCTATGACTGAAGGGATTTCTACACACATCTCCTCTGTCGTCACCTCAGGAGGGAGTCAACATGAGAATAAAACGAGAGGTGATTTCCCTGCTAAACATTGAACTTGAGGTCATATAACACAAGTTTTGACTTCTGAGCAACGCCTCCAAACCTAACAATAATTGAGCAATGTGTTTCAAAATCTATCTCAGATGGGATATGTTTCCTCCTCACCATTGTCTGAAAGAGAGATGCCACAGGGTATATCTTGTTGAGAGCTTCAAGTTCCTTGGTGTCCACATCACCAACAAACTATCACGGTCCAAATAGACCAAGACAGTCGTGAAGAGGGCACGACAAAGCGTATTCCCCCTCAGGAGACTGAAAAGATTTGGCATGGGTCCTCAGATCCTCAAAAAGTTATACAGCTGCACCATCGAGAGCATCCTGACTGGTTGCATCAACGCCTGGTATGGCAACTGCTCGGCCTCCGACCACAAGGCACTACAGAGGGTAGTCTGTATGGCTCAGTACATCACTGGGGCCAAGCTTCCTGCCATCCAGGACCTCTACACCAGGCGGTGTCAGAGGAAGGCCCTTAAAATTGCCAAAGACTCCAGCCACCCTAGTCATAGACTGTTCTACATTTACATTTACATTTTAGTCATTTAGCAGACGCTCTTATCCAGAGCGACTTACAGTTCTCTCTGCTACCGCACGGCAAGCTGCTACCGCACTTCTTAACAGCTTCTACCCCCAAGCCATAAGACTCCTGAACAGCTAATCAACTGGCTACTGTGGTATCTGAGGAATTTATGACTTTGCTAACGTTTTCAAATGGTATCTTGGAGGATGTTGATTCAGCTTAGGGAAGCATCTGGGGAGCAGTTTTATAGGGGCACCCCATAAAACAAAGGAAGTCTCATGGGATTGGTCTGTATGGGAAACCACCCATGTCATGGTAAAGATTATAAATACTTGGTTGAGACAAAGGAGGTCAGAACAAACATATTATTTTGGGTCGCTGTTCTCCAGATGCCTGCAGACGTCTGTAAACTTATGCTGAAATCTTGTGATATAAATAAACCTTTATAATCAAAGTACAGTGTAAGCGGACTCCTTGGTCTCACAGCAAAGATTAGCATTATTCTTTATAAACAACAGAAATGGCAGCGAGGAACGTTTGGGACGTGATGCGTCTCTCCAGTGTTCCATTCATGTGCTGCGAAGTGACTCCCGCTCAAGACGCCGGCTCATAAGGTGAGATTTCCCACAATTTTGTGCGCGGGTTGATTCGCTTGCTTATGGGTGTGTGCGCTGGAGAAATGTACCGTTTAAAAGACTTATGTGTCACGCCCTGGCTCTGGGGACACTGTTATGTTGAGCCAGGGTGTGTAATTCTATGTTTGTATTTCTATGTTGGCCTGAGTGACTCCCAATCAGAGGCAACGAGTGTCAGCTGGTTGTCTCTGATTGGGAGCCATATTTAACTGTCTGTCTTTCACTTTGTGTTTGTGGTTTCTTGTTCTTATTTGGTTTGTGTTAAACCGTAGACATCACGTTATCGTCTGTTATTTTGATCGTGTGATCATACCCTAATAAATAGAAATATGTTCACCTTCAACGCTGCGCATTGGTCTCTCCCTGACGATCGTGACAGAAGAAACCACCAGAACTGGACCAAGCAGCCTAGTGAGGAGCAGAGTGGGTGGACTTGGCAACAGTGGAGGCAGAGCTTCGACTGGGTCAAGCCGAATGAGGAGCTGAATGGCGGAGATTGGAAGCAGAAGAGCGAGAGTTGGGCGAGAATTATCGAGGCCTGGCCCACGGGGAAGAGAGACTCCCAGAAAATTTTTAGGGGGGGGCTCACGACGTCGGACCAGCAGGAGGCCGCGATAGAGCGGTCCAGCGGGTTTCCAGAGGAGGCCGCCAGGTTACGGGGGCCACTGGTCGAAGAGGAGATGGAGGATGTAGAGGCACGGCGAGAGGTACTGGCGTGTGTTGCCAGTCCGGTCCGGCCCGTTCCAGATCCCGGTGTAGGGCCAGTGGTGTGTGTCCCCAGTACGGTCCGGTCCATTCCTGCTCCCCGCACCAAGTCAGTGGTGCGTTTCGTCAGCCCTATCCGGTCCGGTCCTGCTCTCCGCACCAAGTCTGTGGTGCGCGTCGCCAGCCCAGTCCGGCCCATTCCTGCTCCCCGCACGAAGTCTGTGGTGCGTTTCGTCAGCCCTGTCCGGCCCGTTCCTGCTCTCCCGCACCAAGTCTGTGGTGCGCGTCGCCAGCCCAGTCCGGCCCATTCCTGCTCCCCGCACCAAGTCTGTGGTGCGTTTCGTCAGCCCTGTCCGGCCCGTTCCTGCTCTCCGCACCAAGTTTGTGGTGCGCGTCGCCAGCCCAGTCCGGCCCATCCAAGCTCCCCGCACCAAGTCAGTGGTGCGCTTCGTCAGCTCGGTCCGGCCCGCTCCTGCTCCCCGCACCAAGTCAGTGGTGCGTTTCGTCAGCCCGGCTCGGTCCGCTCCTGCTCCCCACACCAAGCCAGTGGTGTGCGTCGTCGGTCCGGCACGGCCCGTGCCTGTTCCACTGTTGCCTGGTCCGGCACCGGTCAGATGCGTTACGCCGGAGCTAGAGCAATCCGCTCCATCAGTGTGCAGTCCAGCTCCGGCCAGCGGGACCGGACCAGGGGTACTTTGGGGGATTGGAGAGGGAGTGGGGATCAGGCCCGGAGCCGGATCCGCCGCCAAGGCGGAGTGCCCACCCGGTCCCTCCCCTGTGGTATTTAGTTGGCGCGGTCAGAGTCCGCGCCTTTAGGGGGGGGTACTGTCACGCCCTGGCTCTGGGGACACTGTTATGTTGAGCCAGGGTGTGTAATTCTATGTTTGTATTTCTATGTTGGCCTGAGTGACTCCCAATCAGAGGCAACGAGTGTCAGCTGGTTGTCTCTGATTGGGAGCCATATTTAACTGTCTGTCTTTCACTTTGTGTTTGTGGTTTCTTGTTCTTATTTGGTTTGTGTTAAACCGTAGACATCACGTTATCGTCTGTTATTTTGATCGTGTGATCATACCCTAATAAATAGAAATATGTTCACCTTCAACGCTGCGCATTGGTCTCTCCCTGACGATCGTGACATTATGTGTGCAGATTTTGCTGTTATTTGCTGTGGGATAGGAGTCCGTTCTAAAATTCTAAATTTGTTTGCGCTGGTAACAACGCAAACAGGGGGGGGGAGTGTCTATAACTATTGAATAATATAATGAAGGAATAAGGCCAGGGTAAATGTATACAAATTAGACCATTGCGAATCTATGGAAGCCCTCTAAGGAGTAGATCATTAGGATGGGCCGAAAATCCTAAAAGCACGTTAGGTGTATTTAGGTGAGTCCAGGGGACTTGAGGCTGTGGTATATATATTCGGTTGCAAGTTACCTCTCAACATGTGGTTGACGAATTATATGATTGATGTGACCGCTCATTGGATGTCCGCGGAACTCGTGGTAGCAGAAATTTAGAGACAAAGGAATTTTACGGCGCAATGGAGGTAACATGCTACATGCTACATGCTACCTTAGGGGTCCATAGGAATGGAATAAGCCTCTTAAAATGTGTATATGTGTGTAGAATAGAGTAGGATTTGTGTTCTGTGGTTTGTGAGCTCTGTTAAGTGTTATCGTTTTTCTATGGGGGTAAAAGAGAGAAAGTACAGCGGGACTGTCTACTTTCTGTTTGGCTTGGAGAGAGCTGGGAGAGAGCTCCATCCACTCTGAAATCGTATTGGTGAATGTACTACGCATGCGCGTGATTTTATGACTTTAGAGTTACGTAGGGCAAATATGCCACTCCCCTGCCTGCACTGAGCTGCTGGGAGACGCAGACAAAGAGAGAGAAGATTTAGACACTAATAGTGTATTCTGGTTGTTAAATCGGCTGTTGTTTGAAGATGAAACTGTTTTCTTGAGACCTATCGAATTGATAAACTAGAGATATGTTGATGGATTAAAAATAAATAAAATAAAATGTTATTGAGCTATTTATACTATTCCTGAGTTAAGTTGTTTGCTTATTTCTTAGCGCGAATGTGAACGGAGGAGTATTGAATGGTTGAAATAACTCAGTGTGTGCATAAAATACTAAATTCTTGTCTGTCCTTTGTTATTCTGTCATATGAGAGACGAGAGGAAGGAGACAGAGAGAGAGAGGAAGTGCTGACGTGTACATCACGCAACAGGGTGTGCTGCGACAGGGTGTGCTGCAACGGATCGAGTCAAACTAAGGCCAGTACTGTTCTATTTACAAAACTTACCTTCCCATACAGGATATTTTGTGTGCCTAGCATATTTGATGTTGTGACAATTTGACAGGGACTTGGCAACAGACTGATCAATTGATGTAATTGCATATTGGAGTTTTTGTGAATAAGTTGGTTTGATTAGAGTTCTGTTGGGAATCGAGTACTGACATTATTCTGTAAAATTAAGGTCATTGGGTGCTTATTAAGCAATTGGTTTGTGAGTACTGTAGTGTTGCAGGATTATAGGTATTTCTTTTTTTGGATTGCTCTGAAGTTGACAACTTTCCTTTACTTTTCCTGATCGGATGTGGTAAGATTACCACTAATTAATAAATTGGTAAAATAAATAAATTTGAGAAAAAATATATATATATATTAAAAAGGGAGGATAAGCTATATAGTCTAAAATAATAAAATAATTCACAATAAAGGAATATAAAAGAGTTGTTACAATGGGGGAAAAGGACATAAAAACTATGAAAGTAATTACTCCTGTTGATGTAGTGCAAAATAGTAATCCTCTAGTTAATGGTATTGTAAGGTTATCTGGAAAATTGAATAAACGTTGGCCTGACATTGAACAACATTTTTACATTTACATTTTAGTCATTTAGCAGACGCTCTTATCCAGAGCGACTTACAGGAGCGATAACAACCATGGCCAGTGGAAGGGACTCTTAACCCTGACGTCATCAACATAATGAAAGTGCTTCTGTCAATTCATAAGGCAGATCAAAAGAAAGGGAAAAAAAGAGAACAACGTAAAGAAAAGAGACAAAGAGAGCTGGGTGTTCTTAAGCTGTTTGAAAATGAAGGACAAAAACTGATAAAAGATACCAACGATAAAAGAAACAAAGATATAGAGAAAATTGTAAAAGCAGTGAAGGTGACAGAAAAACTAATGACAGAAGTCAGTACACCTTTCTCACATACGGATTCAGCAAAAAGACCCCCACCTTATGAGAAAGAAGTAGAGTTTAAGGACGTCTATACTCAGCTTCCAGTGATCATTCAGGAGGGTGATTATTGCATCAGAGATGAAGATGAACGAATAATAGAGAGAGGACAAGCAGAAACGACCATAAAAATGAATCCAAACTCCAAAAGTAGGAAGAAAACGAGATGTCTGGAAAACTAAGGGTGGAGTGAGGTTCAGGAGGATGGAACTTGAAGATGATGATGATGATGATCAGAGTGATTCAGAAGAGATCATGGGTGGATATGACCCTGTGATCAGACGGAGGTTGGCCAGAGCGGAAAGAAGGGGTGATGGATGTTTGAAGAAGAAGAATACAAGATATTCCAGTTCTGATGAAAGCGAAGATTAAGACAGCGATAAAGACTTGGAGATTAAAGGTGCTTCATGTTCAAGAGGATTTTATCCTACAATGATTAGCACAGAAGAAATAGAAAGAGATATAGACCGATGCGTATCATGCCTGGATAAAGCGAATAATTTAGAAGAAGTAAGAGAACTGGAACAACAACTCAAGAAGCTGAAGATACAGAAGAAAAAACTGCTGAGAAAAGGATCCCAAGAATTGGAGAAAAAAGTATACATTGAGGCCAAGGAAAGAGGGCACCAGTAAGAAGATGATGCCAGTGATCATTCGAGGACAAAACCTAGAATATAAGCCTTTGCAAAATACTGATATGTCAGATATACTTGAGAAGCTGCCTACTCTTCAAGATGGAGCCTATCCTTGGATTTCAAAATTGGAAGAAATTACGGTGGGAACACAGTCAGCCATAGGAGACATTAAGAGACTTTTGGCTAATCTCCTTGGGATTCCAGATATGGAAGAAATATTTCAGAGAGCTGGACTCAATAGATATGTGGGGACTGCAGTGAATGATCCTGAATTGTTGGCTGCAAGTAGGAATCGGCTGTGGAGAGCACTGAAAGATACGTTTCCAACAAATGTGCATCCTGACAACATTCTGATTGATCCACTAGGACAACAAGAAAATCCGAGAGCCTATGTGTCAAGAGTCCATCAAGTGTGGAGAAATATTACCGGAAATGATCCAGATGTGAGTCAAATTGAGCAGTCAATTTTGAGAGCTAAACTGCAGATGGGTTGCCCTCACCAGTAAGGAGCAAACTGGCAGAGGTGGTTGGACTTGGAAGCATGACAAAAGGCGTCTATACAGATCATATAGCCCATCAAGTGGATCTGTACAGGAAAAAGGAACATAACCAGAAAGAACAGGACCAAGAAACTCTCAGAAAACTCAATCAAATACAACTGGGGGGGAGAATAAGAAGGAGAAGAAAAGCTTTGGTTATGAAGAATCAGTGTGCACCAAATCAACAATCACTGCCACAGCTTCAACTGAACAAGGTCAAATGCAATTGTACCAGCCACAACTAGTGGTACAAGTTGTTTCATATCCATAGATAGTTTCTGGACTGAGAAAGAATTGGAGAGGAAGAGGACGAGAAGGCTTAGAAAGAGGAAGAGGAGGAAGATTTAAGCCATACTTCCAGCAATCTCCAGAAGTGTGTTATAGTTGTGGACAGGTTGGTGACTTTGCTGTGAGTGCAATGGGCCAGGAGGAAACATCAGAGGGAATTTCAGAGGAAGATACAGGAGCAAGTCAAGATCATCTGGAGGACCGGTGAACCCCTATAGGGGCCCGGAGCAAGAATTCTAGGGGTGCCCAGAAGATCCGAAAGGGGGGTGTCAGCTGGTAGCATCAGGACCGGAAAAAGATCCAACAATTGAGGTAAAAATAAACAACGGACCATGGGAAGTGATGATGGATAGCGGAAAGGCTTTTATCTGTGTTCAGCCTGAAGATGCTACACATCTCACTATGTCAAATCAACTAATTAGGATAGGGATTTGAGGGAGTAAAACAGTTGATTACTCTTAAGGAACCAATTGAGCTCTGCTATGAAAATGAGAAAATTACAATACCCATACTGGTATCAGAACATACACCTATTGCATTGTTGGGAAGAGATGCATTGTGTAAGTTGAACTGTACAATAAGATGTACACCAGACGGCTGTCTGGTAGAAGTGCCAAAGGAAAAGGTTTACCAATTGTTGATGATGACAGAGATGGATTTGTCTTCAGTATTCTGGATTGGAAATCTCAGTGAAGATTCTTTAAAGAAGGCTAAGGTTAGGAGAAAGATTATAAAGGAGTAGGGTTTTTGGGCACCATATTTGCTTGAACAGATTGACTATATAATAGGAAGGTGCACAATCTGTCTGAAAAATAATGTTCGCAGGGGTGTGACTGTTCTTCCTGGTTACATTCCTACACCGAGAGGTCCTATGCATGAGTTGGTTATCGACTTTGTTGATATGATAAAACCAGTTGATGGGAAAAGATACATGTTGGTGGTTGTAGATAGATTTTCACGATGGCCGGAGGCCTGTCCAACCAAGCGAAAGGATGCTCAATCGGTTGCCAAGTTCTTGTGTAAAGAAGTCATAAGCAGGTGGGGATTACCCGATCAAATATCCTCAGATAATGGGAAGGAATTTGTGGATAAATCAGTTAAATTGATGTTGCAAAAATTGGGAATTAAGCAACGTCTTGGAGCAGTTTATCACCCACAAAGTCAAGGGATTTGTGAAAAAATGAACGGTGTGTTGAAAAATCGCATTGTCAAAATTTGTCAGCATACAGGTCTAAACTGGATAGCGGCGCTTCCTTTAGCATTAATGGTGTGTCGTTCAAGTGAGTTGCGTGATCTACGTATGACACCCCATGAATTGGTAACAGGAAGAAGGATGCCTACGCCTTGTTTGCGAACAAGTGGAAAGGGTCCAAGCTTGGCTCTTTTGGAAGATGAAATGAGAGCGTACGTTACATATATGGCCAATTTTCATAAAAAGTTGTCCACATATGTTTCTGACAGGCAAAGAAAATAAGAGGTGCAGGAGGAGCTTGATGAGAAAAAAAAGGAGTACAGTGCAACCTGGGGACAAGGTGTTCGTGAAGGTATTTAGAAGGAAGTGGTATAACGAACGTCGTGAAGGACCATTTGAAGTTGTTCGTAGTACTGGCAGGGGCGGTGTGTTCATTAGGGCGATATGGGCGACGCACTGCCAAACGGGAAAAGGAAGGGTTTTTTTTCTAATCAATTATATCACGGCAACAGTAGTTATCAGTGTTCTAATCTAGACGTCTGATCTGCCACTAAATGTCCAATCAGGCTAAAGTCGTGCTTCAAATGTCCCCGCCCGTTTTGGGGCGATTTCAGTCAGGTTGAAAATCGCCCAGAAGTCTCTCATAGCCTCTAATGTAAAATCAATTTTTTTCAAATATCAGAGCTTTCAATACAATCTCTATGGGTTTCTGAGGGCTTGCACTTACGCGCTTTCGTCATACGTAACATAACCATGAACGTAACTAAGAAAAGAGCGGGTAGCCTCATCAATCAATTCACTACTACTGTCAAAATGGCTAGCCTTCAGTGCAACTCGATTGTCTCTTTGAAAGAAGTTCCTTTTTGTCGGCGAACAAATCAAGATAAATTGGCAACGAAACAATTAGGACCTCCCAGACCAAATTTAATAATTAAACAGGTTTCTACTAAGCAGAGTCATGAACACTGTCTACGAGAATCGAGACGACCTCATAGAATGTTTTGAAGCCATTCGGACGGGTTCATTGGGTTCATTTGACCAGCCCACCGTGAGAGAGGCATCTGGCTACGTGAGGATACTACATGATGAAGATTTTATTTTTTTCCTGCGGCTTTTTCACAAAATCATGCCCCACGTCGACATTCTGTACCAGAAGCTACAGAAGAAGGACATCGATGCTGTCTTTATCAAACGTGCCCTCGACAGCTTCACAAGCAGTGTGCAGGCCATAAGGTAAGATTAAACAATATCATTCGATCTTTCTCAAAGCAGAGCTTTATTTGAAAATGTATGCATGAAAGGAGACTGCATTTGTGTTTGACATTACATTATTCTCATTATATATGGCCAGTGGTGTAATCTAGCTTATTTTATATACTATGTGTACTGTACAGTGGTGCTCACAAGTGTATGAACACATTCTAAAGTTGACTAAAAAGAGGAATACAAAAATAAAAAAAATCATCTTTTGGAAATTGATCTTAATGACTTAATTAAAAAAGTTGGAAAATCCAACCTTTAAGGACACCAATTTTCTTTTCTTTTTTATTCCTCTTTTTAGTCAACTTTAGCATGGGATCATAAGCTTATGAGCACCACTGTATACTGTGCTGAACATCCAGGCTATGTGAGACACAAAGGCTAACTTAAACACTAAAGACTTTATGCATCCCTGCCCATTTTAAGTGGAACTGAAGTATTTGTACTATACATGGATACATTGCATATACCTGTGCATCACATAGACAACAGTACTGTACAAAGCCAACAAACACATTGGTCTGTTTGCCTTCAGGGACTCCTCTCAACAGCAGCTGCAAGAAGCAACAGGAGCCAAAAGACCCAGAACAGCTTTGAGAGAAGAGGAGAAGCAGAGGCTGTCTGAAGAGGTCTGCAACACCATCCTGGATCACACCAAAGAAAGGTTCTCTTTCTCTGGCCACCTTGTGAGTGCTACCTTACTGCAAGCAGACATGTTTGAAAGGTACTGCCATTCATTTCCTGATGAGGCTCTGAATGCCACTGTGAATGCATACCCCATGCTGAGCAAGGCAAAGCTCAAGACAGAACTATCTCTGATCTATGAGAATCCTGAATTCAAGGGATGCTGTGGTGCACTGGCACTGTACCAGGTTCTCATGAGCTACAACCTCCAGGAGACGTTCTCTGAGACTGTGACTCTGTTGAACATCCTCATAACTACTCCCATGACAACAGCTGAAGCTGAGAGATGTTTCTCAACTTTGACACGAGTTAAGACATTCCTGCGAAATTCAATGGGCCAGGAACGTCTGAATGCACTGGCCATGCTTTCCATGGAGAGGGAACTAGTCCTCAGCGTGCCTGATTTCAATGAGAAAGTCATTGAACGCTTTGCTGTATTGAAACAGAGAAGAGAACAGTTTCAGTACAAGTAATGTAGCCTCTCTCTCTCTTTGTCCCTCCCTGTCTGTCTCTTTAACACACACATGCCCAAATCAGTTCACAGTTGATGTTGTTTAAAATAGTTATTTTTCATTAAAAAAAAAGTTTTAAAAAAAATAATCTGTTCATGTTCATTTTTACAAATCTATACAATTGGCCAGAATATGGTTGTTCATATTTACAAATCTATACAATTGGCCAGAATATGGTTGTTCATTTTTACAAAGCCATACAGATAGCTGTGTTTACCTTTTCTAGAAATTACTTTCAAATTCTGTTTTCAGGCAAAATGTCTATCACTGTTCATTTTCACAAATCTATACAAGAGGGCAGAATATGGAAGTCTATAAAAATGTCTTGTTACCAATAACTTGCATCAATGTTTTCAGTAGCCTCTATCAAAAGCTCCTGCTTGCTTGTTGTGAATTATGCTTAGGTGCACATATTTCCAATTCAACCATGAGGCAAAAAATTTGGTAAAAGCTCTTGTTGATCCTGCAATCTGAACAAATACCAAGATGCTGTATTTTCAGCTGATATTTCATTTGTTTATGGAAATGCATATTGTTTATGCAGTGTTGAGGAATGTGAAAGAACACCCTTGATTATTTTTACTGTGATAACTTATTTTGATTTTGTAAGCCAACACATTTGAGATCAGTCAATAAATGCTTCTGGTATTGACTTATATGCTGCCCCTGTCTTCATGTTGTTGCTGGACATATCTTTTTAAAAATGTGTGTAGGTCACCTAAATCATCAGAAAAATTGCCCCCCCTGAGAATTTTTTCAGGAGCCGCCACTGAGTACTGGAACAGGTTAAAGGATCTCCAACGTGGTATCATTTGTCACATTGTGTTAAAGCGCCTGGAGAAGAGGTGCCACGAGCAGAGAGAGAGGATGTTGAAGGCTCAAGAGAGCAGGAGGGAGATAGGGGAGAACAGGAAGAAGGAGAGATTGTCAATGTTATGGATAGTATGGATGATAATGTTTACACTTCTGATGATGCCAGAGATGACTCTGCAATGGAGGGAAAGGAAAGGAGATTTGGGGAAATTGATTTTCAATACGTCCCAGAAACAACAGGGAATATTTCAGTGGAATGTGAAGCAGCGGAGATCACCAAGGGCAACTCTGTTACAGGAGAAGCTGGTGATTCGGTTAGACAAAGTAGGCCCAGACCAGTTAGGAGAAAAGTCATACCAAAACGTTACGAAAACTAAGGTTGAAGTAACTCTGGGACAGTCAGCTCAGCTCCCATGTAAGTGCACGAGAGAGAACAGTGGTGAAGGGAAATTTAGAGTTCAGTGGGAAGATAGATATGGCAGGAGTTTAGATCTGTTAGGAGCAGTTGCATTGAGAAAGTATGCGTTGCTGAATGATAAGAGAAGAATGAAGATTGAGGGTGATTGCAGTATCTATATTTACAATTCCCAGCAGGAAGATCAAGGTGATTATAAATGTATTGTTTATAATCAACAGTTTGAAAGTGAGGGATTAGAGTTGGGACTGAGAGTTGATGTAGTGACACTAGTGGTGATAGATGGAAATACAAGTAAAGAGTTCAAAGCTTTAGGGAGAATGGATGAATCAACAACAATGACATCAACACTTCAGCCTATTATAACAACAGTGAGAAGCAATTCAACTCTTTCAACATTGACAGTTATTAAAGCTATAAATGTATCACATTTGATTACAAGGGAGCCAATCGCTCCAGCACCAATTTAAGAGGAAAAGACTGTCATCAGGGTTAGGATTGGTGGTACAGCTCATCTTCCTTGTAGATGTGAGAGATGGAGTGGGGGGTGGTGACGTTCCTCCCACATGGAGAGATAATTATGGAGAAGAAGTGTTGTTATCAGGACCAGAAGTAGAAGCTGTGCCCCCTGGTCAAAGGAAGTATATTTTGCACAACGATATGAAGTGGAAGAGGTTTATGAGTGATTGCTCACTTATTTTGCATAATGTTACATGGAAAGATCAGGGAGAATATATGTGTACTTATTTAGTGCAAGCATTAAAGTTTGTTCCGGCTAAGAATTATTGGTTAAAAGGCTATGTAACTCGTAAGGTGACGCTTATGATGGAATATTTGAAGTCTGTTGAAGCTTCCACAGTCACCAAAGGAGTTCAGGAGAATTATATTACAGTAGCCACTCCAACAGTAAATAATACACAGAGGATATCTGTAACTTTCCCACTGGAAATAGTTAAGAGTGTTAATACATCAACTAAAGCAACTATTTTAATAGCAACTTTGAAAGAGATTAATGGTACGACGGCAATAACAAATGTAGGAAATATGACACAGACACCAACAACAACTTTTCTGAAACTAAAGGATGTAGCAAGAGTGACTCAGGAGTTTATGATACGGATGGAGAGTGCTGTCAATGGTAGTAAGGATAGTGTTGAGATAGGAGAGCAGATGGTAGTAGAGAATGATGCAGATTCATCTGAAATAGTGCAGAATACTATCATGGAGGTACAGGATGAGTTCTTTGATTTTAATGAATTAAGACAAGAAGATATATCTGATCAATACCGCTCGTTAGGGAAGAGAGGAATTTCATAGTCTGGAAGCCTACCATTGGAGGAAAAGTCTAGGAGAGAAGTGGGGACTGGGACTTTTTCCATGGTATGGTGTAACATTTTTGGCAGATCACATTGATAATATTACCTATACTTTGCAGGGTTTTGCAAATGAAACGATAAGAGGGTTTAACCTTCTGTCAAATACTCAAAGAAGTCACAGACTGACGCTGTTGAAACATAACATGGCTCTTGACTATATTTTAGCAAAACAAGGTGGCTTATGTTTGGCTATGAATTTGACGGGGGATGATTGTTATACTTTGATCCCAGATAGTTCCGATAATATCACTAGTGTTATAGATGCATTGAAGAATATAAGGGATGCGTTTGGTAGATCTGAAGGAGCTGGATGGTCAGCGAAGGCTTGGTTGCAAGATCAGTTAGGCCCAGTGGGAGCAGTGATAGTTCAGATTTTAGTAGCAGCTCTGATAGCGCTGTGTGTGATGTTTTGCTTTTGTACTTTGTTACTGACCTTTGCGAAGGCTATGATATTGAGATGGGTTGGAGTTGTGATGCCTGGAGAAAACACTCAGATGCCGTTGTTAACTGTTACTGATCTAGATGAAGATGAACAAGTGGGACTGGATGGAGTATTGATGGATAGATATCCATTTTGAATATCCGATTATTTTTCAAATGTTTTAAATATTAGTGTGATTTTAGTATTTTGTTATGAATCAAAGGGGGGAAATGGTATGTGATTCATTTTATATATCATTTTTATATTTTTAGTTGATATTGATGTTTTAATTTGAATGTGTTGTTTTGCAGAATATACTGTTTGGTCTTCCAGAAGCATATGGGGGAATATGTAGAGGGGATTCAAATACTCAAACATGGCCAATATGAAAGGACAATATGAATGGACTGGAGGAAGTGGAACAAGGAAGGTGTGGAAATGTTCCGATTCAATCATCAACGATGCATTGGAAGTCGACACTGCTGAGGAGATGAAGTGTAGTGGACTACATTCCAGTGTCTGCAATGATATATAGACATATTTGCATGTGTAATACATAATTTGTGTCATATTCTTTCTGTATTAATTTTTGTCGAATGATATTTGCTATTATTGAGTACATGTGGGGATCTCAGATGTTTTTGTTTATTTCGTGGATGCTTAGGGATATTGGGTCTAGGCAGGGATAGAGAGAATTCACAGGAGGGTCCGATGGGTTGACCAGCCTGAATGTGGACATTTTTGATTGTATTTTGTTTGCTGAGGCTTTCATGTGTATTCAAATTGCATCATAGTTTCAAATGCATTGATAAAGATTTATGAATTGATCTGGAGTGCTTAGGTGGTTGCCTGGGGCAGAGGGGCCGTGAGAGAATTTTACTGTCTTGATTGATTGATGGATATTTGGAAAGAAGGCTGCCAGACAGGTTTTTCGCTCTCATACTCCATAAAGATTTGTTCATATTTCATAGAAATGTATTTACACTCCATAGAAAAATGTGTTTTTGGTTTATTGTTAAAGATACTCAATAAGATAAATTGTTATTTGTCATAATACTATTCTTTTTGTTTTCGAGACTTAATTTGTCTCGAAGGGGGGAATATGTGGTATCTGAGGAATTTATGACTTTGCTAACGTTTTCAAATGGTATCTTGGAGGATGTTGATTCAGCTTAGGGAAGCATCTGGGGAGCAGTTTTATAGGGGCACCCCATAAAACAGAGGAAGTCTCATGGGATTGGTCTGTAGGGAAAACCACCCATATCATGGTAAAGATTATAAATACTTGGTTGAGACAAAGGAGGTCAGAACAAACATATTATTTTGGGTCGCTGTTCTCCAGATGCCTGCAGACGTCTGTAAACTTATGCTGAAATCTTGTGATATAAATAAACCTTTATAATCAAAGTACAGTGTAAGCGGACTCCTTGGTCTCGCAGCAAAGATTAGCATTATTCTTTATAAACAACACTACCCAGACTGTTTGCCGCTACTCTCTGTTTATTATCTATGCATATGTAACCGGTATGAAATGGCTAGCTAGTTAGCGGTGCACGCTAGTAGCATTTCAATCGGTGATGTCACTCGCTCTGAGACCTTGAAGTAGTTGTTTCCCTTGCTCTGCAAGGGCCGCGGCTTTTGTGGAGCGATGGGTAACGGTGCTTCGAGGGTGACTGTTGTCGATGTGTGCAGAGGGTCCCTGGTTCGAGCCCAGGTAGGGGCGAGGAGAGGGACGGAAGCAACACTGTTACATTGATGCTGTTGACCCGGATCACTGGTTGCTGCGGAAAAGGAGGAGGTCAAAAGGGGGGTGAGTGTAACCGGTGTGAAATGGCTAGCTAGTTAGCGGTGCGCGCTAGTAGAATTTCAATCGGTGACGTCACTCGCTCTGAGACCTTGAAGTAGTTGTTTCCCTTGCTCTGCAAGGGCCGCGGCTTTTGTGGAGCGATGGGTAACGGTGCTTCGAGGGTGACTGTTGTCGATGTGTGCAGAGGGTCTCTGGTTCGAGCCCAGGTAGGGGCGAGGAGAGGGACGGAAGCAACACTGTTACACATAGTCACTTTACCTCTACCTACATGTACATATTACCTCAACTAACCTGTGCCCCCACACATTGACTCTGTACCGGTACCCCTGTATATAGCCTCACTACTGTTATATTACTGATGCTCCTTAATTATTTGTTATTTTTCTTATTTTTATTTATCTATTTTTTTTACACCTGTTCTATTCGGCGCATGTGACACATACAATTTGATTTGATTTGATTTGTTGACGGTCTTACGTTACATGCAGAGGATTCCAGACACCACACAGAGACATACAGTACCACACAGAGACATATAGTACCACACAGAGACATACAGTACCACACAGAGACATACAGTACCACACAGAGACATACAGTACCACACAGAGACATATAGTACCACACAGAGACATATTTCATTTTACACATATAGTACCACACAGAGACATATAGTACCACACAGAGACATATAGTACCACACAGAGACATACAGTACCACACAGAGACATACAGTACCACACAGAGACATATAGTACCACACAGAGACATACAGTACCACACAGAGACATACAGTACCACAGAGAGACATATAGTACCACACAGATATATACAGTACCACACATAGTACCACACAGAGACATATAGTACCACACAGAGACATATAGTTCCACACAGAGACATACAGTACCACATATAGTACCACACAGAGACATATAGTACCACACAGAGACATATAGTACCACACAGAGACATATAGTACCACAGAGACATATAGTACCACACAGAGACATATAGTACCACACAGAGACATATAGTACCACACAGAGACATACAGTACCACACACAGACATATAGTACCACACAGAGACATATAGTACCACACAGAGACATACAGTCCCACACAGAGACATACAGTACCACACATAGTACCACACAAAGACATATAGTACCACACAGAGACATATAGTACCACACAGAGACATATAGTACCACACATAGTACCACACAGAGACATATAGTACCACACAGAGACATATAGTACCACACAGAGATATACAGTACCACACAGACATATAGTACCACACAGAGACATTCAGTACCACACAGAGACATACAGTACCACACAGAGACATACAGTACCACCCTGAGACATACAGTACCACACAGAGACATATAGTACCACACAGAGTACCACACAGAGACATATAGTACCACACAGAGGAAAAGTGTAATATTGTTAATATAACCGTGTGTTAGTGTGGTTTTTATTGTGAATTTTTGCATTTCATGCGATGCAGGAACATTATCAGCGATAACAGAGTGATCAAATTAAGATCCTATCTCTGTATAGTAACACTTACAGAGTCCAGGTAGAGGATGACATTCTCCGGAGGTGTCTCCACTCTCCTAACCACGTCGTTGGTCTCGATCCCAGCCTGAGCCAGGATGAAGCCATTGAGAAGGCCCACCTCCAGAATGGCCATGCCAGTCTGGTTAATGGCCTGGCCCTCCAACAGACTGCTAGAGAGCAATATAGGAATAGCTATATCAAATGCAGTAGGTACTAAACCTTTTGTAGCATCCTGACATGCCAGACCTTGTGGCGTTTCCAATATCTGTCTTATTTAACAGCAGACCATTGAAAAAACAAGTTGTTTTTTGTTTTTCATTTTGAAGTTGTAAATGTGTGTTACCAAGCCAGACCTGATGCAGATATAGAGGTGGACGTAATACATGTCAGTGCCAAACAACTATACGTGCAAATCAAAAGCCTCCTGTGTAGTGTCTCTCTGTGACAACCCTCTGCATTGTAAAACACATTCATCCACACACACACAGAGAGAGAGACAGAGAGAGAGAGAGAGACAGAGAGAAATTGAGCAATACAAATAAAGGAGAAAAATAAAAAAAAATTACTGGCAAGTTTAATTTCCAATGTTTAACTGACAGACAGCATGCTTTCTTCAAAGGGACTAACAGCTGATTTGTTGCAGCCCATTTACAGGAATGAAAACTACTCAAGATGTGAAGGTTTCATCAAAGAGTGAGACTGAGACAGGCCGATTAACGCTTTCCAGCAGGAGGCTCCACCATTAACTCCCTGGGACACAATCAGACAGTGTTAATGATGAAATAGGAGTACTTAAACAACACTGCAAAGCCACCATTTTTACTATTATGGTGATTTCTCATCCTTTTGATATAAGGTTAGTCATTGGTATGATGCAGGTTAGTCATTGGTATGACGCAAGGGGCTAGGTTAGAACAGCTGTAGAACGTTTTGTTTAAATGTGTTGTACCTTGATAATAGCAATGTCCTAGGCACTCGCAACCACTATGTAATGGGGCTCATGTGAATACTAGAACAGCCCAGCAACACGGGAAGCTTAGCCTTAGTCTGTGATGTCATGTTTTCATTATTGAGATTGATGGAAATCGTTGGCAGACAGACATGAGGACTGTGATTTAAGTCAGTCAACACATTACTGGAATCTGAAACTGATCGAATCCTTGGCCCTGGACAGAAGAACCTGTAAGCGTTCTGCTCTGCACGTCTCGATCTGAAACGTTAACCACAACAATCAGTTGCAACATCATCACTAAGATGGCGCCAACCTGGAGAATCAGGCACTGCTTTGTTCTTTATCGCTAGATCATTTTTATTTGAATGGGGATCTTTTCATTTTACCTCTTGGCTCTGGTATAGCAGATAGTTGGTGTAGTTGATGTGGAAGTTGGCCACTGTGGTTGAAGGTGCTCTGTTGACTGTAATGTGGAGATGTATGAGGTGAGACCCACTGTAGACTGCATACAGACAAGGCCTGCAGAGCCATCACTGTGTCCTGAGGAGATAAAGGATAAAGGAGCTAGACTCCATTTCAAAATGTGACACAGACAAAGCAACTGTTCCTCCTCCCCATTGGTTATATCACCCTCTCCAGCTCAATACAGCCTGTTGATCCTAAATCCTATCTTCACTGAGCCTCTCTTGTAAACTCTTGGGCCCCTAATATTTGTTTATACCCTAATTCTATCCGTAGTGGGATTTCAGGTTAATCTGTACATTTTATCACAATTTGCCTCACAGTACTTGATGGACTTAATTTCAATCTGTGTTACTGACACAGAACAGGCTCCATAGACTCTAGACTATAGGCTTGTTCTTTTGGGTTTTGTGAATGTTCCTTTTGATTCTATTAATTGAAACTGGAATACAGTATGTTCTGAGCCAACCTATCTGATCTGAACTCAGAGATTGACCCTTTAAATGCTTCTATTCTGAGCCACCCTAACTGATCTGGGTTCAGACACTGACTCACACCGACCCTTGAAATGCTTCTATTCTGACCCAGCCTAACTGATCTGGGTTCAGACACTGACCCACACCGACCCTTGAAATGCTTCTATTCTGACCCAGCCTAACTGATCTGGGTTCAGACACTGACCCACACTGACCCTTGAAATGCATATGTTCTGACCCAGCCTTGCTGATCAGGGATCAGAGACGACCCTTCCTTACCTGTGTGGAGCCGTATCCTCCCAGGTGGTTCCTCTTCTGGCTGAGCCACTTCATGAGGCCGAAGCCTTCCACCACCCGGGACAGCATGCGCAGGGAGAGCAGCAGGTAGGTAGCCATCTGTATGTCTGCGGAGCACAGCTAGCACGACTCAGACAGCCCTACATCTGACGAGGACCAGGATGGAAGACCGTCTGGACAAAAAGGAAATGGTGGAGCAAAACAAAGTTGAGCTACATCAACAACAACATCTGGGAGGCTTGCACTGTATATCGAAAAGTTTCTAGTGAGTCCTCTTTAAATGCTTTTAGCAGTGGAGCCTCCTCAGAGGAGGAAGGGGAGGACCATCCTCCCCAGTGAATTTCATACACATTTAAATTGTAAGACATTTAAAAAGTTATCATTTTAAGATAAACTATACTAAATATAATCACATGTCACCAAATAACTGATTAAAACACACTATTTTGCAAAGAAGGTCTACAGTAGCCTCAACAGCACTCTGTAGGGTAGCACCATGGTGTAGCCGGAGGACAGCTGGCTTCCGTCCTCCTCTGGGTACATTGACTTCAATACAAAACCTAGGAGGCTCATTGTTCTCACCCCCTTCCATAGACTTACACAGTAATTATGACAACTTCCGGAGGACGTCCTCCAGCCTATCAGAGCACTTGCAGCATGAACTGACATGATGTCCACCCAATCAAAGGATCAGATAATTAATCTAGCACTGAAAGCATAAACTACAGCTAGCTAGCACTGCAGTGTATAAAATGTGTTGAGTAGTTGACTCAAAGAGAGAGAAAGACAATAGTTGAACAGTTTTGAACAAATTAATTTATTCCAAAATGAAGGATAAGTAAATTTAACTTACTTAGCTAGCAAATGCAGCTAGCTAGTTCAACCTACTGAAACACCCTGCTCAGAGGGATGTTATGTTAGCTAGCTGGCTATGACTTTCCAACACAACACTGAAACTCTTCCAAGTCAAGGTAAGCTTTTGGCATTACTAATTTATTGCCACAGGGCCCGCCGGTGTAACTGCTTACTGACTGTACACTGTAATGTTACTGCATGATTGTAGCGGGTTTACTAACACGTTAGTTCTATTAGCTATGCTGACTATGACGTTACTTTAGCTAATATGGTGACAACGATGTAGGCTGTGTGCAGTTGTTTGGCTTGGAAAGGTTTTTTTTGCCTGGTCACATACAGCTGATATGTTGTGCATTGAAGTCCACAAGCGAAGGGAAGAGGTGAGAGGAGGAGAGCGCATAGATAGATGTGAGAAGGAATACAACGTGGCTGCTATGAAAGTGAACTGTGTTTACGCGTGATCAGGGGTGTATTAATTCTGCTGAATCTGTTGAAAAAAAATCTTAAACGGAAGCAAACGGAAAACAAAATGGGGATAAACATATACGTGAATTTTTCCAATAGAAACTCTTGTTTGCAACTGTTGGACTAATGATTACACCCTATATCAGCTATATGCAGTCAAGAGTGCATCTAGCTGGAGTTTGTGCAAGGCGGTGTTGAATGTCACTGTCTGTCCAAGTGTCACTGTCTGTCACCTCAAATTTCTTCTGTCGACCTGTGTGCACCTACGTTGTAAACTTTCATTCATAGGCTAGGTTGTAGCAACCTCATGATGGGTATAGGGAACATTTTAGTATCATGTAGTAGCCTAAATCTATCGCTGTTACATTGAACTGGGTGTATGGAATATGAATGAGAGTCATCCAATATGCTGTAATAGAAATAAGGCCATGCTCGTGAAAATAAAAAATCGGCCTCCCTCATCTTAAACGGCACTGACCGCCACTGGCTTTTAGATATGCAGCACCTTAGAACAGAGGAGTCTCATCCATCCCCACCTCCATCCAACTCCCCAAGTGTTTACCCCTCATCTCTGCTCATCCCATCAGCTGTGTCAGCGCTCGGTCTGCGCTCTCACTGTTGGCCAGAGCGTAAGTGGCCAGACACAGGCTGTAGTAATGGAAACCTGGCTTGCGTACATGTTCTGAATAATAGAAACAAAGAAAAGGTCAACCAAAGAGATTTAACAGACTTGGAAAACCAAAGGCCAAAGCACATACTGTATGTAGCACAGAGTCTTATTGTAGCATTACTCCCACCTTGTAATTGTCATCCTCCAATAGCTCCATGAATAGCTTCATGAACATTTTAATTGTTAGACATTTAAAAAGTTATCATTTTAAGATAAACATGTACACAAGTAGGTTGTGAGAGATATGGGGCCATCCAGGCCTTGCTGAAGCTCAGTGTGGATGACCCGGCCAGGCTCCATGAAGGCCCCGTCATCCCCCTGCTGGGCCCCCAACCAGGTTGCAGTACTGGAGAGCACTCTGCTGTCGATGGAGATGAAGGGACTCGCCTGCAGGAAGCACTTCAGTACGAACGCAGAGAGCCTTTCAGAGAGGAGATATGGATAAAGGGTTACAGATACACACAAACAGGCTGAGTTACTCACCATGTGCTTCCAGAGGAGTGACTATCTCCAGAGGCACTGAAGGAACCATCATCTCTCTGGTAGGACAGTTCACTCTCATAACCTACATGGGCAAGAAACCAAAGGGTTAACTATTAGGCTATATCATACATATATTTTATTGTATGTATTAGTCTATGTAATATGTATAATTGTATTTACATTTTATGAACTATTAGGCAATATAATATAGAATTTCAGCTAAGTTGGTATGAATATTAGCAACACACCTTTCATCATGTAAAACGTGGCTTTACAGTTTTTCTCAATTGCTAAAACACTAAACCCTATTGTCTGAACCAAATGCTCAGTTTCCTGAACCCACTGATTGAATCAATCACTCTTTTGGCAAAACCATAAGCACTTTTCACCTGTTTAGACATAACTTGCCAACACATGTTCATTGTGATGCACCCGTGCTGCATAATGGTGAGCACAGGTGACAAAAGTCAAACACAATTAGAGCACAGGTGTCACCACTTGAACACAACAACTCAAAATTGATCACACTTGTGGCTAATGATGTGAGGGAACATATACAGTAAGCCAGTTCAGAGAGCACTGGTTTGTGAGGCCCTACAATGGATAGAAATCTGAGAGGAAGAGTTCGTGTGAGAGGAGGTCGAGGTGGTCGAGGTGGTCAGCGAAGACAAAGAACAGTAATATCTGATTAAATCAGAGCTACTGTGATTGACCATGTTCTTGTCCATGGTATGAGCATGAGGGAGGCTGGACAAAGGGTACAACCAAACATCAGTAGATTCACTGTGTCCACCATAATCCGAAGATTTAGAGAAGAGAACAGGTAATTACCTTTTTTTGACATTATAGTACAGTATGTCAATGTTGACAGCAATTACTGTATGACATACTATATACTGTACCACAGTATACTGTAAGTAAATATATGTTTCAGTACATCACTGTACCAATGTACTGTAGTATTGTAATGGAGGGTTGGTCTAACTGTTTGTAGGCCTAGTATTTCATGTATATTTTTTGTAACTCCATGTTCTCTTTTTGTAGAATTGAAAGACTGCCACATGGAGACCCTAATTGTTGATATGGTCTGTGAGAACAATGCCATTAAACTGAGCGAAATTCAGCAGAAGATCATTGAGGACCATTTAAATTTTGAGGGTATCAACAGTGTCAGCCTCTCTACTGTTGATCGTGTCCTCAAGCGCAACAGACTGCGCATGAAACAGCTATACAGAGTGCCCTTTGATCGCAACTCAGACAGAGTCAAAGAGCAAAGATTCCAGTATGTACAGGTTGGCATATATCCAGACACATTCAATGTTGATTACTCTAAGTAGTGATTTACTGTAGTGGCCTAAATCACTTTTTCCGTATCACTTACAAAACTATATCTATTTCTACAGAGGGTTTTTCAACTGGATGCAATGGAAAGACCCCATCAATACATCTACATGGATGAAGCTGGGTTTAATCTCACCAAAAGGAGAAGGAGAGGCCGTAATGTGATTGGCCATCGGGCCATTGTTGGTGTTCCTGGGCAGCGTGGTGGCAATGTCACATTATGTGCTGCCATCAGCAATCATGGGGTTGTCCACCATCATGCCAACCTGGGGCCCTACAACACTCACCAGCTCCTCATTTTCCTCAATCACATGCGAGATGCTTTGTTAGGGCAGCAGGATGAGCATCCCATCTATGTTGTTGTTTGGGACAATGTGAGTTTTCACAGAGCCCTCCAGGTTAGAGAGTGGTACAATATGAACCAAGGTTTTATCAATCTTTGCCTTCCACCGTACTCCCCTTTCCTAAACCCCATTGAGGAATTCTTCTCCTCATGGCGGTGGAAGGTATATGAACGCCAACCTTACACCAGGGTAAATCTCCTGCAAGCCATGGGACTTGCCTGTGGTGACATAGGTGTGGAGGCATGCCAAGCCTGGATACGGCATACCAGGGGGTTTTTTCCCCCGTTGCCTGGCCAGACAAAATGTGGCCTGTGATGTGGATGAAGTCCTGTGGCCTGACCCAGTACGGAGACATGATGCTGTGGCTGAGTAATGCACTTATTTGTATATTTTTGTACTTAATTTTTACATGGGCTTACTGTACACAAGTGGCAAACGCATAAGATTTGTTTGTTTTTACAAGTGCTACATGTGAATGCACAAGATTTCTGTTTTGTCTTTTTGTACAAGTGCTAAATGCACAGTTTTTGTTTTGTTTTGCAACATGCATTTAGCCTACAGTGAACAATAAACATTTATTTCTCCAGCTTCATGTCCTGAGCATTGTGTTTTCTATTTTTCTACGTAGTGTTTAGTGACTGTTCAGTAGTGTTTTTTATTTTGATTGACTCGGGGCACGATTTGACAACATAGTTCAGTTTTGAGCACAGATTGAACTGTTTTGAGGTGAAAGTTTGGTTTTGCAAGAAGAGTCTGAGGTTTTGTGAATGTAGCTTGAAAATTGGGTTTTGTGTTCACAGTTAAGAGAAAAGGAGAGCAGCTTTCAAGAAATGTGTCTTAGCAATCGAGAAAAACTGTAATCAAGATGTCATGGTCGACTTGTCCAGACACAGTCAGATACAATGACATAGATGTTGGGGAAAAGTTCTGCTCCCCACCTACATAAGGCATATGGATGAGGGACTCCAGGCCAGTGATGGATGGTCCAAGGATGTCACCTTTTATACAGAAAAAAATTAAGACAGAATAGAGAAAGAACGACAGAGAGAGAGAAGGAGAGAGAGAGAGAGAGAAGGAGAGAGAGAGAAAGAGAGAGAGAGAGAGAGAGAGAGAGATTTGTAAATACAACCCATATTTATGTTTATTTATTTTCCCATTTGTACTTTAACTATTTGCACATTGTTACAACACTGTATATATACATAATATGACATTTGAAATGTCTTTATTCTTTTGAAACTTCTGAGTGTAATGTTTACTGTTAATATTTATTGTTTATTTCACTTTTGTTTACTATCTACTTCACTTGCTTTGGCAATGTTAACACACGTTTCCCATGCCAATAAAGCCCTTAAATTGAATTGAGAGAGAGAGAGATAACACAGCCTTACAAGTAACAAACATATATGGTTTTCTTTTAATATTTACAAGAGCTGCCACTTAAACAACAATCATGTTTACCGATGAGGACAGCAAATACAAGCAACCAGAGTAGCCTGCTAGTTTGATAGGTTGACTAGCATGACAGATGCACCACTCTTTAGGGTTCCATTTCTAGAAGGGTAAGAAAACAACCACACAGCTGCTGACCATAAAAAGACAAAGAAGCATTTCCAAATGTCATTATTTTCACTGAAATCTATAATTCAACTTGTTTGAGGCATTGGGCTTTGCTTGTCATTCTCTGTCAGTTTTTCCAATGAGTGTTCACTTTTAGCCATACTATGGGAGGGAAAGTATTGATAAAATGCTCATAAAAAGTCAAATATGCTTGTTATAAGACCATAGGAATGTAGTTTGGGTTCACCAGCTTGTGAGTGGAGTGGAAGAGGTCAAGCTGGATGTGTTTACAAACCGACTGCAGTCACTTGAGCTCTTTGACTGCCCTCAACAACATCTGCAGGGAAGCTGAATGCCATTTCACTGGTGAGGCTTTTCACTGACCTCACTGGCTCCAGAAACATCGTCTTTGAAAGTGACTGCTCAAGTCCTTTAACCTATCAAAACAAATTATTACACAAACAAACATTGACGTGTAATACAACCTGGGCGAGATGGAGAGAGGTCCTTTGAAGAAGTTTAACAAGAACAAGATTTGTGTGTTTAGTCACAGATGTATCAGCTGAAATAACTAACAACTTAATTTGATACTCCAATTAGGAGAAAAGAGAAATTGCTTTCACTGACCGCTAAGTTTATTGAAGTAAAGTGAAACTTTTTATCTGTTCTGTAACTTGACCAGAACCATCTTGCTGACGGCGTCTGAGGCAACAGCCGAGACGGGGATCTCCACCAGGGCCAGTGGCCTGATGGGAAATAGGACAGAGGTTCCGTTCTGACTCCACACAGACACTGTGCGTGTACTGGCTTTAGAGAGCTCCTCATTGTCCGGGAAGACAAACTCAAATGAGTGACTCTGAGCAACAGTCACCATGACCAAGCAGAACATAATAAGAAAAAGCAGAGAGAAAAACAACGAGACGAGCGGGAAGTCACCCAGATCAAAAGACATGGAATGTCTGGACAGACAAAACAACGTGATGGGTCGCCATTGTGTCGTAACAATATTACAGATTAGAACTATGATACAAGGACTGTCTCATGTCCTGCTCCACGTAGTGGTGATTGTCCATGTTGGATTAATGGGCTCAATGCTTTGATACCTCTAGCATGACCCTAGAGGTGTTTGGTGCTGGTGATCATTATAATGAAAGATAATACAAACTGACCCAAACTGGTTCATTCTAGTTCTGACTGCTTCTCCATTAAAGGAGGATAACATTTGTGAATATGTTACAGTGAATGTGTAAAATAGGGACTGTACTGTAGTGAAAGATTTTCAACACAGTAAATAATATCAAAGTGGCTATGCCAGAGAGACATCTGAGAGCTGCATTGACTACAGTGAAGGCAGCTCACCTCAAGGTCCTCTTCCAGGTATTTGAAGAGAGTGACCTCCACAAGCAGCAGCTCGCCTCGGATTATGAAAGCAGGTAGATTCAAGGACAGGAAGAAGTCCTGGAACACTTTGAGCTGAAAACACAAAAGAGTACAGAGAGTAGAGTAGAGTAGAGTAGTCAGGTTGGATGGGGAGCGTCGCTGCTATTTTCAGGTCTCTCCAGAGATGTTCGATCGGGTTCAAGTCTGGGCTCTGGCTGGGCCACCCAAGGACATTCAGACACTTGTCCCGAAGCCACTTATAGCTGTCCTCGAAGGATGCCTAAAAACAAATGAAATTTCATCCCAAACAGGTGGAATCTGTTGGCCTACTGCTGTGTCACTCAAAGCTCCATTTCAATACAAAGAGAGCTACATTGTTTGACGTTGGCAGTGATTTTGAAACAGTCATTTTGAAAGGCCTCTTAGATCTATAATGAGTGTTGCCACCTCGTCTGAGAGCTGTATGTGAATGGGGAGGACCCTGCCTGCAGGCAAAGGTAAAACCATTGTCTGGACAGGTATCTCGTCTGGCATTGGAGGGAGTTCAGAACCAGAAGAGTTCAGCTGCACACGAGGCAGCATTAACCCTGAGTCATCCAACTTCCAGCTACATGGACTGTCTGTCTTGTGTTTTGGAGATTGTAACAGTCTTCCCCTGATCCTCTTGAGTCAGGGGCCGCTTGTTGTACGTGGATATTTTCAGCTGCACAAACACGATGTTTGTAACTAAACGTCTACGTGACGAAATCCATACATCAGTAATCATGCAGTAATGACTACTATTGTCTCTTGTGTTGAAAATTGGAGTAGTAGGGCACAGAGTTCGAAGACACTTGGTTATGGCTCGGGAGACTTCAACAACACTTTCAGACACTTATAGTTGTACCCTTGTTACCATGGCATTGATATGAGGTAGTCTGAAACCGTGATATGCCCTACTTATGTATCTCTGATCACACTGCATGAAAACAAGAGTCGTAATAGAACAGGTGACTTAACCTACTGTATCAGCAGCTTGTCACACTCTGGCTCCGGGACTGTGTGTTAGAGCCAGGGTGTATTTCATTTGGTGGTGTTGGGGATGGGTGAGTTTCATTTTGTTTGTGTTTAGTGGTGATTGGTCAATGACTCCCAATCGGAGGTAACGAGTGTCAGCTGTCGGCTCGTTATCTCTGATTGGGAGCCATATATATTCTGTGTGTTTTTCTCCTTGGGTTTGTGGGTTTTTGTTCCGTGTTTCAGTCGTTGTACTTTGGACTTCACGAGTCGTCTTTAGTTTTGTATTTCTGTGCTTTTGCTTATTAAAGTCATGTTTCTTGGACACGTTGCGCCTTGGTCATACTTGGACGACATAGACGATCGTGACAGAAAAACCCACCACAAAAAGACCAAGCAGCGTGTCAAGCGGCAACAGGACCTACCTACACAGGATTTATGGACTCCCATAAAGGATTCATGGACATGGGAGGAGATTCTGGATGGTAAGGGGCCTTGGGATCAACCGGGAGAATATCGCCGTCCTCGTGAAGAGCGGGAGGCAGCTAAAGCCGAGAGGCGGCGATATGAGGAGGCAGCACGGAGGCAAGGCTGGAAGCCCGAGAGTACTACCCAAGAATTTCTTGGGGAGGAAGCGCCAGGTATGGAGAGAACGCTGGTGGATGTCCTCCTCGGCTGGGGACATATTACGCAGGAGGAAGCCGTCCGGTACCGGAGGGCGATGAAGGGGGAGAACCTGGCAGGAGTGGAGCAACGGCATCAGCAGGGCCATCGTCGGAAGGACGAGAGGCAACCCCAAAAAAAATTTGGGGGGGGGCACATGGCTTGGGCGCCTGGGCAGCAGGAGGCTGCCACAGGGAGAGGTGGAGAGAAGGCTATCGGATTACGGGAGCCATTGGCGAGTAGAGGGAGGGAAGTTGTTGCGGCACGGCATGAGAGACTGAAGTGTGTTACCAGTCCGGTCCGGCCCGTTCCTGATCCCCAGTTAAGGCCAGTGGTGTGTGTTCCCGGTACGGACCGGCCTGTTCCTACTCCACGCACCAGGTCCACGATGTGCGTCGCCAGCCCGGCCCGGCCTGTTCAGGCCACTCGCACTAGGGATACGGTGCGCGTCGCCAGCCCAGCCCGGCCTGTTCCTGCTCCACGCACGAATCCTACGGGGTGCGTCACCAGCCCAGCCCGGCCTGTTCCTGCTCCACGCACGAATCCTGAGATGCGTGTCCTCAGCCCGGTACCTCCAGTTCCGGCACCACGCATCAGGCCTACGGTGCGTCCCCAGGGTCCAGTATGCCCTGTTCCTGCTCCCCGCACTAGCCCTGAGATGCGTGTCCTCAGCCCGGTACCTCCAGTTCCGGCACCACGCATCAGGCCTACGGTGCGTCCCCAGGGTCCAGTATGCCCTGTTCCTGCTCCCCGCACTAGCCCTGAGATGCGTGTCCTCAGCCCGGTACCTCCAGTTCCGGCACCACGCATCAGGCCTACGGTGCGTCCCCAGGGCCAAGCATGCCCTGTTGCTGCTTCCCGCACTAGCCCTGAGATGCGTGTCCTCAGCCCGGTACCTCCAGTTCCGGCACCACGCATCAGGCCTACAGTGCGTCTCAGCCGGCCAGAGTCTGCCGTCTGCCCAACGGCGCCTGAACTGCCCGTCTGCCCAACGGCGCCTGAACTGCCCGTCTGCCCAACGGCGCCTGAACTGCCCGTCTGCCCAACGGCGCTTGAACTGCCCGTCTGCCCTATGGCGCCTGAACTGCCCGTCTGCCCTATGGCGCCTGAACTGCCCGTCTGCCAAGCGTTGCATAAGCCGCCCATCTGTACTGAGCCTGCAAAGCCGCCCGTCTGCCATGAGCCTTCAGAGCCGTCCGCCAGACCGGAGCTGCTAGAGCCTTCCGCCAGACAGGATCAGCCAGAGCCTTCCGCCAGACAGGATCAGCCAGAGCCTTCCGCCAGACAGGATCAGCCAGAGCCTTCCGCCAGACAGGATCAGCCAGAGCCTTCCGCCAGACAGGATCAGCCAGAGCCTTCCGCTAGACAGGATCAGCCAGAGCCGTCCGCCAGACAGGATCAGCCAGAGCCTTCCGCCAGCCATGAGCAGCCAGATCCGTCAGCCAGCCATGAGCAGCCAGATCCGTCAGCCAGCCATGAGCAGCCAGATCCGTCAGCCAGCCATGAGCAGCCAGATCCGTCAGCCAGCCATGAGCAGCCAGATCCGTCAGCCAGCCATGAGCAGCCAGATCCGTCAGCCAGCCATGAGCAGCCAGATCCGTTAGCTAGCCATGAGCAGTCAGATCCGTCAGCTAGCCATGAGCAGCCAGATCCGTCAGCCAGCCATGAGCAGCCAGATCCGTCAGCCAGCAATGAGCCGTCCAGCCAGGATCCGCCAGAGCCGTCCAGCCGGGATCCGCCAGAGCCGTCCAGCCGGGATCCGCCAGAGCCGTCCAGCCGGGATCCGCCAGAGCCGTCCAGCCGAGATCCGCCAGAGCCGTCCAGCCGGGATCCGCCAGAGCCGTCCAGCCGGGATCCGCCAGAGCCGTCCAGCCGGGATCCGCCAGAGCCGTCCAGCCGTGATCCGCCAGAGCCGTCCAGCCGGGATCCGCCAGAGCCGTCCAGCCGGGATCCGCCAGAGCCGTCCAGCCGGGATCCGCCAGAGCCGTCCAGCCGGGATCCGCCAGAGCCGTCCAGCCGGGATCCGCCAGAGCCGTCCAGCCGGGATCCGCCAGAGCCGCCCAGCCGGGATCCGCCAGAGCCGCCCAGCCGGGATCCGCCAGAGCCGTCCAGCCGGGATCCGCCAGAGCCGTCCAGCCGGGATCCGCCATTCAGTCCGGTGCTGCCCCTTAATCCGGTGGGGTTAATTTGGAGGGTGGTCAGGTGGAGGAGGCTACAAAAGCGGGTAGTGACTATGGTGGAGTGGGGATCACGACCAGAGCCTGAACCACCGCCGAAGAGGTATGCCCACCCAGCCCTCCCTTGGTTAGCCCTAGTTGAGGCGCGGTCGCAGTCCGCGCCTTTAGGGGGGGGTACTGTCACACTCTGGCTCCGGGACTGTGTGTTAGAGCCAGGGTGTATTTCATTTGGTGGTGTTGGGGATGGGTGAGTTTCATTTTGTTTGTGTTTAGTGGTGATTGGTCAATGACTCCCAATCGGAGGTAACGAGTGTCAGCTGTCGGCTCGTTATCTCTGATTGGGAGCCATATATATTCTGTGTGTTTTTCTCCTTGGGTTTGTGGGTTTTTGTTCCGTGTTTCAGTCGTTGTACTTTGGACTTCACGAGTCGTCTTTAGTTTTGTATTTCTGTGCTTTTGCTTATTAAAGTCATGTTTCTTGGACACGTTGCGCCTTGGTCATACTTGGACGACATAGACGATCGTGACACAGCTAATGGGGATCCGGAATCAAATACAAAAAATGTAAAGATTATGCATTATAATATACATTATATTATGCATAAAGTTTTACATTATTCCCACACAATATCTAAACAATATAGACTCGTCATTGTTTCCCTTACCTCAGCAGTGCATTCGGAAAGTATTCAGACCCCTTGACCTTTTCCACATTTTTTTACGTTACAGCCTTATTCTAAAATGGATTGAATTGGTTTTTTCCCTCATCAATCTACACACAATACCCCATAATGTCAAAGCAAAACAGGCTTTTAGACATTTTTGCTAATTTATTAAAAATATAAAACTGAAATATCACATTTACATAAGTATTCAGACCCTTTACTCAGTACTTTGGTGAAGCACCTTTGACAGTGATTACAGCCTTGAGTATTCTTGGGTATGACGCTACAAGCTTTGCACGCCTGTATTTGGGGAGGTTCTCCCATTCTTCTCTGCAGATCCTCTCAAGCTCTGTCAGGTTGGATGGGGAGCGTTGCTGCACAGCTATTTTCAGGTCTCTCCAGAGATGTTCGATCGGGTTCAAGTCCGGGCTCTGGCTGGGCCACTCAAGGACATTCAGAAACTTGTCCCGAAGCCACTCCTGCGTTGTCTTGGCTATGTGCTTAGGGTCGTTGTCCTGTTTGAAGGTGAACCTTCGCCCCAGTCTGAGGTCCTTAGCACTCTGGAGCAGGTTTTCATCAAGGATCTCTCTGTACTTTGCTCCATTCATCTTTCCGTCGATCCTGACTAGTATCCCAGTCCCTGCCACTGAAAAACATCCCCACAGCATGATGCTGCCACCACCATGCTTCACCGTAGGGATGGTGCCAGGTTTCCTCCAGACGTGACGCTTGGCATTCAGGCCAAAGAGTTTAATCTTGTTTCTCATGGTCTGAGAGTCCTTTAGGTGCCTTTGGCAAACTCCAAGCGAGCTGTCATGTGCCTTTTACTGAGGAGTGGCTTCCTTCTGGCCTTTATCCATTTGAGAATAAGGCTGTAACTTAACAAAATGTGGAAAAGGTCAAGGGGTCTGAATACTTTCCGCATGCACTGTAGCTGGGATATCCACAGAAGGCAAGGTTATATCTATATTTAATCACAGCCACTTCCATAGTGCTGTGATAGGTCAGTCCTTAAAAATCTATAAACAATAGACCCAATAGATCAGTAACAGTACACTCTGAATGAGAGACTTACTCTTCATTCTCAATAAGAAAGATGAGTGTACAGAATCTAACTTAAATTATTTCAAATAACTGTATGATTACCTGTCAGGGACATAGACCATGATGGTGAGAAACTCATTGTACTCATAATCCTCTTACATGTAGTCTGCAGATCGTTTATACATGTCCCGGTAGTCAGGCACATTACATTTACAATTTAGTCATTTAGCAGACACTCTTATCCAGAGCGACTTACATGAGCAATTAGGGTTAAGTGCCTTGCTCAAGGGCACATAGACAGATTTTTCACCTAGTCGGCTTGAGGATTCGAACCAGTGACCTTTCGGTTACTGGCCCAATGCTCTTAACCGTACCTGCCGACCCACATCAAAAGAGGAATCCGTGGAGCCGTCAATCTGTATCAAAAATGTATTAATTAAATGAGATGAACATTGAATCATCTGTCAGAGATCTGTACAAAAGCATCGCTTTGGGTGTTTTGTGGGGACAAACTTACCTCTTTGTGTTCATCATAAATCACATCGCTACCATGAACATTTTGCAAGGATGTTATGTTCATGTGACCTTGCACAGGCTTCCTATACATGTATCTGTGTGATAGAGAGTAGATTACAATACTCTTGCTGCAGTGGGCCATTTAAATGATCAGAACCAAATCGTTTCTATTTATTTATTTTATTTCAGTATCGTACCATTTGGTGCACAGCCCATATGGGCGTATAACATACTATTTCTTCAAGTATGTGTGTACAAAACACATAGCCTTGTTTAAACCATAAGGTAAATCATGATCAAACAGATTTACTTAGCAGTGACCGTGCCCCATATCAAATCAAATTTGTATTTGTCACATGTGCCAAATAGAACAGGTGTAGATTACCATGAAATGCTTACTTACAAGCCCTTAACCAACAATGCAGTTAAGAAAATAGAGTTAAGAAAATATTTACAAAATAAACTAAAGTAAAAAGAACAACAACAAAAAACAAGTAAGACAATAAAAGAACAATAATGAGGCTGTATACAGGAGTACCGTACCGAGGCCATGTGAGGGGGTACAGGTTAGTCCAGGTAGTTTGTACATGTAGGTAGGGGTAAAGTGACTATGCATAGATAATAAACAGTGAGTAGCAGCAGTGGGGCATTTGATTATCGTCATGATAGAGACTATCGTCATGATGGAGACTATCGTCATGATGGAGACTATCGTCATGATAGACTATCGTCATGATAGAGACTATCATCATGATGGAGATTATCGTCATGATAGAGACTATCGTCATGATGGAGACAATCGTCATGATGGAGATTATCGTCATGATGGAGATTATCGTCATGATGGAGATTATCGTCATGATAGAGACTATCGTCATGATGGAGACTATTGTCATAATGGAGACTATCGTCATGATAGAGACTATCGTCATGATAGAGACTATCGTCATGATGGAGGACACTGAGGGCCTCTATCAGCACCAGCCCTCAGCACTTCAAACCTGGGCAGCACTGAAACAAACACACAGGACATGAATGTCAATGGATTACAATCACACACTACCTCAGCAAAGATTTCCAAATGTGTATTTTCATTCAAGGTATATGGAAGTACACAATCTGTATAGGCTATACAGTTCAATCACAGCATATTTAGTTACAGTCTAAAATGTACCATATTGACTGTGTTTGGTTTATGTAAATAAATAAATGAACAAAATGTCAGGGGAAATAGTTCAGCTTTAGTCCTGTTCAAAATGAGGCCAAATAACAACCAGGTCCATGGCAGGGAAGTCAGTGAGTTTCCTCTGGTGGGTCATTTAACTATCTTATGAACAATAGAGGGAGGAACCAGAACTTATGGAAAAGGTCAAGGCGCTTAACTTATCTTAACTACAATTTAACGTTGATGAAAGCACCTTTACCATGATGATCCACATTGAATTTCTTTTCACTCACAATTTCCTGCAACACAGGGAGACAATGCGAGGGATAACCACATTTCAGCACACTGACAAATTAACTCTGGTTATTGTTTTTTTTCTGCCCCTTCGACAGTAAGACTTAAAACTGCTGGACATTTTGAGTTTGGTTTCAGTTATCTACTCTATATTGATTAAAACAACATAAGGTGGGCTGTCTTTGTGTTATAGTTCACAGAAGACACGTTTCACAGAAGACGTTTTTAAATAACACTAATTCATTGTGAGTATTTAGTGTCAATTCTTCCTAATGATGAAAACATTTGCGGACAAAAAACACATTAAAGCCCCAAGGCTATCTGTGAACAATGGTTTCCTGAATGAAATGCAGCCTTGTCAAGATGAAATGTAGCCGGAGTCATCCTGAAAAGCTTTAATGAAGTTTTAATAGCAACTCAAAGTGGTTTTGAGAAGCAATATGTTGGCATGGTCCTTTCAAATTTAATAGGAGTCACATTGATGGAAGTCAAAATGGTCAACTTGCCAAGGGGTGGATTCTCAGACAGCTGAAACTCTTTGGACACAACCCCCAAAACACTGTCCAATGACAACCACTGCCGGATCATGTTTGCCTTGGGATCCTGGCTCACGGCATTTATAAAAGGAAATTAGAATTATCAACTGTCCATCACAGTTCCATATCCTAAGGTCCAATCATCTATCTGCTATCACTTCCACACAGAATGTTCATACAATACCCCCTTGGTATGTTACCTAGTAACACACACCTTAATGATAATATCGATCTTGCTCTTATATGGCTGGGTGAATGGACACTGCCCGACTTTCCATGACCTGTCGTAGTTGGCCTTGTCTGTCTGAATAAACGTGGACAAGCTTTTGGGGTTGAAAGCCCTATTTGGTAAAAGACCAAGTCCATATTATGTCAAGAACAGCTCAAATAAGCAAAGAGAAATGACAGTCCATCATTACTTTAAGACATGAAGGTCAGTCAATACAGAAAATGTCAAGAACTTTGAAAGCGTCTTCAAGTGCAGTTGCAAAAACCATCAAGCCCTATGATGAAACTGGCTCTCAGTTACCTCTGCTGCAGAGGAGAAGTTCATTAGAGTTACCAGCCTCAGAAATTGCAGCCCAAATAAATGCTTCACAGAGTTCAAGTAACAGACACATCTCAGCATCAACTGTTCAGAGGAGACTGTGTGAATCAGGCTTTCATGGTCGAATTGCTGCAAAGAAACCACTACTAAAGGACACCAATAATAAGAAGAGACTTACTTGGGCCAAGAAACACGAGCAATGGACATTAGACCGGTGGAAATGTGTCCTTTGGTCTGGAGTCCAAATTTGAGATTTTTGGTTCCAACCGCCATGTCTTTGTGAGACGCGGTGTGGGTGAACGGATTATCTCTGCATGTGTATTTCCCACCGTAAAGCATGGAGGAGGAGGTGTTATGGTGTAGGGGTGCTTTGCTGGTGACACTGTCTGTGATTTATTTAGAATTCAAGGCACACTTAACCAGCATGGCTACCACAGCATTCTGCAGCGATACGCCATCCCATCTGGTTTGGGCTAAGTGGGACAATAATTTGTTTTTCAACAGGACAATGACCCAACACACCTCCAGGCTGTGTAAGGGCTATTTTACCAAGAAGGAGAGTGATGGAGTGCTGCATCAGATGACTTGGCCTCCACAATCCCCCGACCTCAACCAAATTGAGATGGTTTGGGATGAGTCGGACCGCAGAGTGAAGGAAAAGCAGCCAACAAGGGCACAGCATATGTGGGAACTCCTTCAAGACTGTTGGAAAAGCATTCCAGGTGAAGCTGGTTGAGAGAATGCCAAGAGTGTGCAAAGCTGTCATCAAGGCAAAGGGTGGCTATTTGAAAAATCTGAAATATAAAATATATTTGGATTTGTTGAACACCTTTTTTGGTTACTACATGATTCCATGTGTTATTTCATAGTTTTGATGTCTTCACTATTATTCTACAATGTAGAAAATAGTAAAACAATAAAGACAAATCCTTGAATGAGTAGGTGTTCTAAAACTTTTGACCAGTAGTGTATATGATAGCTTTGACTAAGTTGTATCAATGCAATAACAATGCCAGTGACATCTAATTGCTACTTTTATGAAATTAATATTTTTCATATTGTATTGGCATGCACATTATAAATATCAGAAAAAGTAATACTTACTGGTGAAAGAACTAGCAGCTCAGTATAACCTTTATAAAGTTGGATAAAGACAAAGGGAAGTTTATCATCAATTTAGTTATAGCACTGATAGTCATACAAAATCATTATAGCAGAAAAGGCAAGGTTGCTGCTTGGTGTGTGAAACAAAGTCAAGCAAACATTTAAAAACATTTATAGAAATATGAAATGTTGAGTTGAAAATAATACACCTCCTTGAATTATGGTTGCGTCTGAGACTACAGTATTGTTGCCGTTAACAATCTCAGTAACAACTTGGACTTCCACAGCGATGGTGAAGATAGTGACTGATAGTGTGATGGGGGCACCAGGCCGTAGCACCCTCGGAACAGAAGTCGGGTATGAAGGGCTGGGGGCCGGGGGCCGGGCTGGGGGCCGGGCTGGGTTCCGGGCTGGAGGCCGGGGGCCGGGCTGGGTTCCGGGCTGGAGGCCGGGGGCCGGACTGGGGGCCGGGGGCCGGGCTGGGGGCCTGGCTGGAGGCTGGGCTGGGGGCCGGGGGCCGGGCTGGAGGCCTGGGGGCGGGGCTGAAAGAGATAAGAGGATGGCGAAGTTAGAAAATAGGGGAGGCAATTCAACCATTTTAAATCGCCTATAACGACAAATAAGTATCTTCTATAATGGAAAAAGTATAGGATTATAAGTACATTTGTCTAGAATACTTTTGAAGTACTATATTTAGCCATAACTTGGGGTGAAAATGACAAATAATCCAAGAAATCCAAACGCTTGAAACCACTCCATTTGCCTGAACCACACAGCAAAGTGCTTCATTGATCAATGGAACCAAGTTGTTTCAGGGACAGTCTTCATACCTGTGCTAAAGTAACTCCACCTACTCTGTCACCAGGGAATATATGTTATGCTCTCCATCAACCATACCAAAGGGAATTTCTAAGAAAAAAAACACCTCTCTTAAAAAAAGATATGTTCCTGTTCAAAAACATGTTCTTGTTCAATCAATATTTTTGTGTTGGGAAAATTGTAGTTCAATTTCTGCAACTTTTTTTGTCATAGGCTACTTAGCCAGGTATGGTTTTTCAATGTAGCTAATGGTTTTTCAATTAGCTAATGAATGCATTTTTAATTGGACACGAGTATCAAGCATTGATTAAGCTATCTATTTGGTTGTGATTTCATTATCGCAAAGTAATTCATTAATATTTAATTAAATTTACCAGACAAAATGTATTAGATGGCTCATTTGTACAAATCCTCGAAAAATCATTCTAGGCATGGCTCATCATCATTACATGTTCTCATTTTGGGTTCTACTAAAGTTTGTCTGCTATTTCTCAGTCCAACAGCAGATGGCAGTAAATCAACAGACAATGACACCTCCCTGACGAAGGAGGGCATCGACGTTCTTGTTGATGCTAAAGTTGAAGGGTCACATACATTTGTGCCGCGTTCAACGAATCAGCAAGTAGAACATTTCCGAGTATCCGAGTTCCGACTAGCATTGAACGCGGCACCTGTACAGCCAAAATGACAACATTACGAGCTTTCACATGCGATGATTTGTTCAAATTCAATAACATGTGAGTTAATTTCGATTTTTTTCCCTAATAATGTTGAATAGGTTACCCATCTAGCTACATCGTCATTATGTTTTAATGAACAATAGCAATTGCTTGTTGGCTAGTTGCAAGTATAGCTAGCTAGCCAGAAGCTAATTATCATACAGTGCGATGCATAGCTTTAGACTATCTGCTACCAAGCTTAGACTAGTCAACTATGTTGATATAAGATACATTATTTGATATTGTATGGACAATAATAGCTCACTAGCTATCTAACTAGCTAACTAAGCAAGCTTTCCAAGATTAGCTGGCTAGGTAGAGCCAGCTAGCTAACAGTTAGATAGGTAACGTTGAGCATAACGACAGTTGAGTAAACTGTGAAGTCTGCTGCCCCTCATCATCGGTGCATTGCATTGAATGCACAAAACATCTCAGAATTTGTTTGTCTCTTCACAGCAACTTGGATCCATTGACAGAGACTGTATCCTTTCACATGCTGCTGTTCAGTACAAATTGTTCCCCAGCATTGTAATAACATACCACCATCATGCACAGAAACCCCAGATAGTCTTTGTCTTTTTATCAGGAGAAGACAAGCTGTCCTTAACTTTCTTTCACAGTATGGAATCCCATTTTACCTACAGTACCTGGCCCACTGGCCAGAGTACTTCATTGTTGCAGAGGCCCCTGGTGGTGAATTGATGGGTTACAGTAAGTAGGCCTGCATGTCATACACACCTAGCAATATGATGATTGCTTTAGAGAAAATGCAATAACAAAGGCATACATTCTGTATAGCCTCCATCAAAATGACACTTCTGACTATCCTCAGTCATGGGAAAGGCAGAGGGATCAGTGGCGCGAGAAGAGTGGCATGGCCACGTCACAGCTCTCTCTGTGGCCCCAGAGTTCAGACGACTGGGACTGGCAGCCAAGCTTATGGAGATGCTGGAGGAGATCTCAGAAAGGTGGGGCTGACTTCTAATGCTTCAGGTTACTAAGATCAGGGTGGTGTTAATTTGGCATCACATTTTGTATTTTTTTTTTTACTGAAACAGGGAGTGACTACCTCAGCTTTTCCCAAACTCGGTCTTGGGGCCCCCCCTGGGTGCACGTTTTGGTTTTTGCCCTAGCACTACACAGCTGATTCCACAAATCAAAGCTTGATGATCAGTTGGTTATTTGAATCAGCTGTGTAGTGCTAGGGCAAAAACCAAAACGTGCACCCCTTGGGGTCCCCAGGACAGAGTTGGAAAACGCTGGACTACCTGGTCCAATAAGAAACTCGGGAGTTTTCAGTTTTTTTTTACCCTACTGAACAATAACCACATTAGAGTAGAGCTGAGATGCCTTGGTGATAAATATAAGGATATGTTTATAACACTAATGTGCACCGCTTTTTAAAAATGATCCTTTAAACTACTACTAGTTTGATGGTTGTAGCCATCAATTGTCCCATTAACAATCACCCATATTTCAAACGTCACATTTCTCTAGTATAGACTACTTATCGTAATGAACGATATCAACAAAATGCTTGTGATAAGGGATCGGTGTCGATAATTTTCTGTTTGTCATCCCAGCTCTGCTAGATCTACTTCTTTGCCTCACTATTGTCGGTTTCACTGTTGTTTAGGAAGGGCGGGTTCTTTGTTGATCTGTTTGTGCGAGTCTCCAATCAAGTGGCGGTGAACATGTACAAACAGCTAGGCTACAGCGTTTACAGGACCGTGATAGAGTACTATTCTGCTAGCAATGGAGAACCGGATGAAGACGCCTATGGTAATATGAACCCCTTCAAATCAATGTAAACATTACTGTAACTCAGACAATCATTATGTGGATATGTACTCACTCTTTGTCCTTCTCTGCAGATATGAGGAAAGCCTTGTCGAGAGACGCAGAGAGGAAGTCCATCATTCCTATACCACATCCTGTCAGACCAGAAGATATAGAATAACAGTAGACGGTAGCTCTGACACTTTTGAAAACAAATACATTTATTTCTCGGTTGTCACTAGTTACCACAGCCACAAAGTCAAAATTGGCAAAAATTCATGAAAACAAATTGGTCTTAATTTAAGGTTATGGTTAGGCATAAGGGCAGTGTGAGGGTTAATAAATTGTAAAAATCAGTAGGGTTTACGACTGTGGTTGTGGTAACGACCGTATTTCCCCAGTCTGCATTAGAAAATGAAGTGTTATTAGGACTAGTTTTATTTTTAGGGTTTGATGTGTGAAAGCTTAGAGAATATCATTGTACATAATATTGACAGATCTAATAAATTGTCCTTTTTGATGACGAGTCAGTCACTGTTTGGTTTGAAATGCTGTATGGACTTTCATCCAAATTCAATAAATGATATCTACTTACATGACTCACCCAGGTAATGATACTGTATCTGCCACTTTGTTACAGTCAGTTCTATGGTTGAAAAATTTCCCAATAAATAAAAATAAGGATATGTGTTTTTTTATTTACACTGTCATTGCACCACAGTAAATGAATGAAACAAAGACATGGAAAAATAAGCAACTTTTTTTAAGCAATAGAAATTACCCAATGAAGTCCAAATTGTCCCAATTTTTCATTAGTAAAAAAAAAAGAATCCCAGACAAGCTAATCTTTCGCTGAGTCCTTATTGCTCTTCTTGGGCTGTTTCTCACCACCATCATTGTCACTGTCACTACTGCTGCTGCTGCTGCTTCCACTACTGCTTTCATCAGAATCATCTCTGTCATCGTATGTGCTCTCTGGGTCTTTTTCAGGCACAGGCTCACTGACCATAGGCTTTTCTGATGATGGTGATGCTGAGTCTTCTGTCATTTCTTTGTCTATACCTCTCTCCCCTCTTCCGTCTTCTTCCTCCATTTCTTTGCCCTCAACTTTCTCCACTCTACCTCTATCCACTCCTCCATTGTGTTCTTCCTCATCCTCTTCCTGCTCCTCCTCCTCTTCGTCTTCTTGTTGCTGCCTCTTCCACATCTTGGCCATGGCGAGCAGCTTGAGGTTGGGCTGGTTGGCTGCATCCTCAGGGAAGATGTAGTCGTAGTACTCCTCCCACCCTGCATCCGACTGATGCATCAAAATGAAAAGCCAATTAGCGATCAACCGAACCACGTGACATAAACAAGGGTAATGAATTGATGTTGGATTGGTATGATAAGGCCAAGAGAAACACTACTTACCCCATCCTCTGCCGTGAGCTTTCTCCTCTTCTTCACCTTTTCCGGCAGCAGTTTCTTCACCCTCTCCCTGGTCGTGTCTGAGCCAAACTCCTGCTCAAACTCCTTCCAAGACTCCAGCAGCATCAGACGCTCCTCCTTCTCCTCACAACTCCTCAGGCCCTTGTTGGCCTCCTCAAATATCCCCCTACACCTCTGCAGCCGGTCAGAGGTATCGATGGACAGCTCATACTGGGCATAGCTGATCCAGACCTGCAGGTAACACATTTAGCAAAATTACACAATGATCAAGTATTGTTTGATGAGTTGTTGAGCTACAGTGAGTGTTAGGCAGGTGAGTAATGTAGCATGGGACAGTCAGGTCAAGGTTAAAGGGAGAGTTCTCACCTTGACGTGCTGTGTGCGCTGCAACAGTCTCTGGTAGAGGCCTCTGGTGTTGTCACACTCTTCCTGCTCCATTTCAAAGTCCATGTAGGACTTCCACAACACCTAAGATTTAAAAATATAACATTTGAAAGTAAAATACTTTTTGTTATTTTCATTCGTTTCCACAACAATACTTTTCACGTGAAGAGTGTCTTCAGACATGCTAAAAGTGGAAAGCCAATACAGTGAGTAAATAAATGCCCTGGGTGAGTGTTTTTGAGCCTGACCTCTGGCATGTCCAGTCGTGGCTGTCCGATGGCCAGCTCGAAGATGGCCCGGGCCCTCTCTGTGTCTCCCAGGATGGTCTCCAGCTCAGAGAACTTGATCCAGGTGGTGCAGTTCTCTGGGGCAAACTCCAGGTACTTCTCATAGAGCTTCCTGCATCGGTCAAACTCTCTGAGCTGCAGCTCCAGTTCAATGTAGCCCTTGAACAGCTTGTTCTTTGGACATTTACCAATGGCTGTGCCCTGGGGAGAGGGAGAAGGCCACATTACAGAAAATATGTCAAGTTTGAAGTATCACAATGAAAAACATAAATTATCAACAGCCATAAGTAGGGACCTTACCAAGCCTCGTCTGGCAGCTTGGAGGTTCTTCTGGCGTATTTCAAATTGGCCGTAGAGTAGCCACATCTTGGCAAACGTGAACTATGAGGAAGGAAATAAAGTAATAAGTATGATGATTTGTTGATTAATGTTTTTTTTGTTGCATATCAAATGTATTATTAAGCCCCATTTCAGAAAGAGAGGTGCCATTGACTGTAAACTGCCAATACCTTTTTGTGAGGGATGAGATCCAGACATGCCTGGTACACCTGCCTTGTTCTCTCTGGGTCCTGCCAATCAACACAATAAGCACTGAAATCCACAGGCATATGCACAATGTCACACTTAGCAATGTGAGAATCATAGCCAATAGGGATGTGCATCTTTCCCTTTCAAGACGATTCGATACGTATCTAGATACATGGGCTCCAATACGATACGTTTTAGTTTGAAACGATTCGGTGCTATTTGGTTTGATTAGAGAACGAATTGATGTGATTCGGTTCGATGCACTAACATTTGTTGCATAAACACATTCATTTTCCATTCTAAATTCATATCTGCTGCTGATGGAGCTCATGGGCTGGGCCTGTCTGAGCTGACTTCTCTGTCTGCGTGTCTCTGTGTGTGTAAATGATGTATGTCTATGGTGTATACTAGTATGTAGGCACCTGATCTGAGCCATAAGGGAGACTAAGCATCTACCACCCCACTACCACTATCAGCAACGTAGCCTGTGTTTTTTGTCCCCCCACTTTGGTTCTGAAATCACCATCACCCACTAATTTTTGCAGATTAAGTGTTTGAGCTTGTAATGTATCAATAATTACCATTTACAAATTAGCTATGACATAGCCACTGAAGGAGAGGATACATCAGTTGTCACAAAATATGAGGTACACTATATATACAAAAGTATGTGGACACCCCTTCAAAATAGTGGATTTGGCTATGTCAGCCACACCCATTGCTGACAGGTGTATAAAATCGAGCACACAGCCATGCAATCTCCATAGACAAACATTGGCAGTAGAATGGCCTTACTGAAGAGCTCACTGACTTTCAACGTGGCACCATCATAGGATGCCACCTTTCCAACAAGTCAGTTCATAAAATTTCTGCCCTGGTCAACTGTAAGTGCTGTTATTGTGAAGTGGAAACGTCTAGGAGCAACAACGGCTCAGCCGCGAAGTGGTAGGCCACACAAGCTCACAGAACGGGACCGCCGAGTGCTGAAGCGTGTAGCATGTAAAAATCGTCTGCAACACTCACTACCAAGTTCCAAACTGCCTCTGGAAACAACGTCAGCACAAGAACTGTTTGTCGGGAGCTTCATGAAATGGGTTTCCATGGCCGAGCAGCCGTACACAAGCCAAAGATCACCATGAGCAATGCCAAGCGCCGGCTGGAGGGTGTAAATCTCGCCGCTATTGGACTCTGAAGCAGTGGAAATGCGCTCTCTGGAGTGATGAATCACGCTTCACCATCTGGCAGTCCGACGGACGAATCTGGGTTTGGCGGATGCTAGGAGAACGCTATCTGCCCAAATGCATAGTGCCAACTAAATTTTGGTGGAGGAGGAATAATGGTCTGGGGCTGTTTTTCATGGTTTGGGCTAGGCCCCTTAGTTCCAGTGAAGGGAAATTGAAACGCTACAGAATACAATGACATTCTAGACGATTCTGTGCTTCCAATGTTGTGGCAACAGTTTGGGGAAGGCCCTTTCCTGTTTCAGCATGACAATGCCCCCGTGCACAAAGCGAGGTCCATACAGAAATGGTATGTCGAGATCGGTGTGGAAGAACTTGACTGGCCAGCACAGAGCCCTGACCTCAACCTTATCGAACACCTTCGGGATGAATTGGAACGCCGACTGCGAGCCAGTCCTAATCGCCCAACATCAGTGTCCGACCTCACTAATGCTCGTGGCTGAATGGAAGCAAATCCCAGCAGCAATGTTCCAACATCTAGTGGAAAGCCTTCCCAGAAGAGTGGAGGCTGTTATAGCAGCAAAGGGGGGACCAACTCCATATTAATGCCCATGATTTTGGAATGAGATGTTCGACGAGCAGGTGTCCACATACTTTTGGTCATGTTGTGTATTTTCGGAAAGTAGAGAGAAAGTAATATGAGAAAAAAAATGTTAGTGAATCAGCGATTCGTAACGTTTGAATCGATTTTCTGACCGATGCATGCTACAATTGGATCGGTTTGGGGTCCGTGTACCGATGCAGTCGTATCTTAAACATTTGAATCGGGGACCGATGCGTACCGGTGAATCGTTACATCCCTAATAGCCATTATATAAACACACAGAGGTGCAATGCAGGCCTACCTGGACCTCCAGTTCTTCATATAGAGCGTAGTTTATCCACAGGTAAATGTATCTTCTCCAGTGCCTTTTCTCCTGTATAGGAGGGATGTTGGCGATGGCTCTCTCATAGACCTCCCTGGCAGTGTCAGGATCCGCATCGCTCTCCACCAGGCGTAGGTAATCAAACCATGCGTCATAATTGTGTGGGCTTGCCTATACAAGAAGCAAAACACAATCAAATAGAAAGCTATTAGTGGATAGAATATTGTGTTTTAATGGTTTATTTTTGGGTGAAATCTTTGCGAAACTTCACAGGTTTAATTGAATTTACCTTGACTTCCTCTTCATACTGAAATCTCCTCTTGCTGACGATGACGTCCTCAATTCCCCTCCGGTCTCCAAACTTCTTCTCAAACACGGTGTAGAACTTGAAGAGCTCCTGAGCCTGCTGCTTGGGGATTCTGTCCAGGGCGTATTTGTAGATGACTCGAACCCGCTCAAACTAAGAGACAAAGTTGTGTTGTTCTGTTGACCACAGTTGGAGAACAGTATAGATGTGTGGGAATAAAACTGACATGGTTCAAAGTGTCAGATTTACAAACCTCTTTCTGTTTCTCTTCAAATCTGGCGAAGGCCACAAAGAGCTTCTCATCAACATGCTCCTCGCCAAAGAACTCCACTGATCTTTCAAACACCTTCCTCCCATGGGCGATGTAGCCGTGCTTCTCTTCGAAACGGGCGTACTTGATCCAATTCTTCACGTCAGGGTGGACAATCACAAGTGCACTGGAGTTAAGGAGCTTTAAAAGAGAGGGATGCACTCTACAGGCATGATGACAATATGAAGGTAATATCACTACCATAGGTTGCAATGCATTATTACAAATGTAATCTGTTAGAATAAAACACCTGTTAATGAATAATGCATATCTAGTCAGCAACCACAACTCATTTGCCAATACATTGTAGTAAGCCATTGCTCTAAGCCAGGGGTGTCAAACTCATTTTAGCTCAGGGGCCACATGGAGGAAAATCTATTCCCAAGTGGGCCGGACCGGTAAAATCATGGTATATATAACTTAAAAACAACAACTTCAGATTGTTTTCTTTGTTTTAATACGATCAACATAAAACATAAAGCTGGAGCCTGAGGACAGTGTGTCCAAAATAGTACAAGCACAACATCACTATTAATCATAAAACACCTCAAGTTTATTTGAAAATTCTAAAGAAAAAGAACACAAACACATAATGCCTCAGTGATTCACAGAACTGTTTCACAGATCACAGAACTATATCAGGGTGTCATTTCTCAGGCAGAAATGTAGATAAAAATAATGAAATCCTGTTCCCCAAACAAGTGCAAGAACCACAGAGTCAAGAATAGGTTAAATATACAAATAAAATAAAAACAATTAAAAACAATAGCACATCAACATAAAAACATATAAACATAAAGCTGGAGCCTGAGGACAGTGTGTCCAAAAGCACAACATCACTATTAATCACAAAACACCAAGTTATTTGAAAATTCTGAGGACAAACACACAAAGCCTCAGTGATTCACAGAAGTATATCACATAACTATATCAGGGTGTCTCATGCAGCACTTTAAGTGGGGTTGCATAGTTTATTTGACTCCTGATACCTGGCATCTTTTAGCTTTCACCAGTGCATCAATATCAGGCGTCACATCCTGAGTGGCAGCCAACTTCAGGATGTGATTCAATTGCTTGTGCGTGAGCCTTGAGCGCAGCTTTGTTTTATTTATGCTCATTACAGAGAAATCTTGCTCACAAAGATATGTGGTTCCAAACATGCACAACAGTTTTGCAGCGAGGGCTGTCAAGTTGGGGTAACCTGGCAAGAGATTCTGATAAAATGTGTCCAAGCCAGCTGCGGCAAATTTGCCCTTCAAATCCGAGTCACACTGCAAGTCTATTATTTCAAGTTGGATGCTGACGGGCAGATCAGAGGGATTCACGGTGAATGGCGAGCAAAAAACTTTGAAGTCTTTCTCCAGTTCACCAAAAATCTGAAAGCGTTGCTCAAACTCCCGTAACAGTCCCGTTATTTTATCTTTGAACCGCTTCATGTCTGCCACATGTTGGGTCACGCACACATTTTTCAGACAGGGGAAGTGAGCTGCATCACCACCGGCGAGTTGCGTCTCCCACAATGACAGCTTCAACTTGAAAGAACGTATGCTGTCATAATACTGCGTGACAACTTTGTTGCGCCCTTGCAGCTGTTTGTTCAAGTTATTCAGGTGCTTTGTAACATCCACCATAAATGCAAGGTCCTGCATCCATTCTGCAGAATGAAATTCTAACACTGGTTTGCCCTTTTCTTCCATGAACTGTTCAATTTCTTCTTGTAAATCAAAGAAACGCCTCAGCACAGCACCTCGGCTTAACCATCTTACCTCAGTGTGGTATGGCAGGCCATAGATGTGGTCTTTCTCTCTGAGAAGGCTGTCAAACTGACGGTGATTCAGGCTTCTGGATCGGATGAAATTAACAGTTTGGATGACCACCTTCAGGACGTTATCCATCTTTAATGACTTGCAACACAAAGCCTCCTGGTGCAAAATACAGTGAAAAGTCAAAAAATCAAATTCTCCATTTGCACATTGCACTTTCTCTCTGAACTTTGTCACAACGCCTGCTTTTTTCCCGATCATTGAGGGCGCACCATCTGTAGCCAGGCTGACAGCGCGGGACCAGTCCACTCCGACCCTGTCCAACGCGCCGACGAGTGCGGTGAAAATATCAGCTGCTGTCGTTGTATCTGTCATCGGCACCAACTCCACGAACTCCTCGGTGACGGTCAATGTGTCATCAACTCCGCGGATGAAAATGGCCAGTTGTGCAACATCTGTAATGTCCGTGCTTTCATCAATTGCAACCGAAAACGCAATAAATGACTTTACTTTTTGCTTCAACTGGCTGTCCAAATCCACTGAAAGATCGGAAATCCTGTCTGCAACTGTGTTTCTTGTCAGGCTGATATTTGCAAAAGCCTGGCGCTTTTCAGGGCACACAATCTCCGCTGCCTTCATCATGCATGTTTTTACAAATTCACCCTCACTAAATTGTTTTGAAGCCACTGCGATTTCATTAGCAATGAGGTAGCTAGCTTTCACTGCAGCATCACTGATGTCTCGGCTGTGAGTAAACACAGACTGCTGTTTCTTCAGACCCGCCAACAGTTCATTCACCTTTTCTCTTCTCCGCTGTCCTTGAAAGTTGTCAAATTTGTCGGCATGAAGACTCACATAGTGGCGACGAAGGTTATATTCTTTCAGCACTGCAACATGCTGTGAACACACCAAACATACAGCTTTCCCATTCAATTCTGTGAATAAATAGGAGGATTACCATTTTTCTTGGAACACTCTGCGTCCACTTTTCTTTTTTTTGACAGAGACATATTGGGGCAATGAGGGTGCCAAAGCACATAATGTTAAAAGTAGAAGCCGTAATAAATATCGCAGGCAAAACAAAGTAGCTCATCCGGACTGGCTGCACTTGCTTGACCTACTTGCTCTGCCCCGGTATAAACAGTTTGCTTGCTTAACACAATTGCTATTGCGCCATCCATTGGACACAATTGGAACAGCAGTTTATTTTATTGAAAAATTGCAGCGCATTTTTATACTTTACAAAATCATCTCGCGGGCCGGATTAAACCAGTTTGCGGGCATGATCCGGCCCGCGGGCCGGACGTTTGACACCCCTGCTCTAAGCACTTCCCATCAAAAGGATATATCTCTCATAGATGGAGCGGGCCTTGTCGACCTCCTTGTAGCGCAGCTCAAAGTTGATGTAGGAGTGCCAGGCTTGTTCCTCTGGTTCCCACTCTGTCCAGCGCTCAAACACCTGTCTGCAGCCAGCGATGTTGCCCAGCATCTCCTCCATGTAACTGTACTTGTACCTGAAAGAGGGAAAACAGCAAAAGAACAGATAAGCGACAACATTTTGCATATTGATGGTAGACTTAGCATTGCTTTAGTCATTATTCTGCAAATGTCTGATTCATTGATGATCAAAACAAGTGTGAGCACATCAATCTGATTATTTTTTTAGCCAGATATGCTCAGTTTAGGAGAGGTAAAGTTGTTCAGTACCAGAACTGGTTGACACGGGGCAAGATGGTGATGGCTCTGTCCCAGATGTTACGGGCGTGGTTCACCTGCCGGTTCTTCATCTCCATCTCTGCATACTTCAGCCACAGAGCTATGTTTCGGTGGTCTACATCCAGAGCACGCTCGTAAATAGAGCGAGCCCTATGGGGAAAAGTGTGAGAAAAAGGTCAGACAACAAGTATCCCAGTCAAAATCCATCTATAACATTCCCATCAGATTCCATGTACAACAAGTATCCCTGTCAAAATCCAGCTACATTCACATTAGACTCCATATATGTATGAATCACAATCATCAGCTTCACAGAGACATTGACATGCATTAACTTACCTCTGGACTTCTTTCAGGCTCTCCTCCCATTGTGCGTATTTTATCCAGTTGCTGATAACAGTACGATTCTTTCTGATGTTGTCTTCAAATCCCTATGAGTATGGAGTCGAGTCCAGTATGTATTTACTACTGTGTAACATTACTTCACAAGATTTGCAGACAATTGGGCATGTTGAAACTGGCAGGTTGGCAGACCAACAGAATATCAACAGCAAGACTGAAGTCTGAAGTGTAATGCATGTGTCACGTGGAGTCTTACCTTCCTCTTCTTCAACTTGTAATCGTTCAACTCCTCTTCATCAGTGATCTTCTGCTTGGGTGGCGGTGGAAGAAGCTCGAGCTCCCTCTCCTTTGCCTCCCTGAGCAACTGCTCAGCTGTGATTTGTACCTCTGCTGGAGCTTTGTTTTTCACCTTTACAGCACAAATTAAGACATTATTTTGGAAATGGAGGAAACTAGTTGATTGAAGACCATACTAGTTAGCTACATAGCTAATACATGTTCCAAATGGAAACAGTTCGTCTAAGGCACTGCATCGCAGTGCTAGCTGTGCCACTAGAGATCCTGGTTCGAATCCAGGCTCAGTCATAGCCGACCTGGAGACCCATGGGGCGGCGCACAATTGGCCCAGTGTCGTCCAGGGTAGGGGAGGGAATGGCTGGCAGGGATGTAGTTCAGTTGGTAGAGCATGGCGTTTGCAACGCCAGAGTTGTGGGTTCGATTCCCACGGGGGGCCAGTATGAAAAAATAATGTATGCACTCAATAACTGTAAGTCGCTCTGGATAAGAGCGTCTGCTAAATGACTAAAATGTATAAACTTTAAATAGCTAAGTATGTAGCTACAGTTGGGTCAGATTTCTCGATAGAATAATCTACATTAGTTAAATAAATAAAAAATTGCAGTTCTTACATAGCATGCTACCCGTTCGTTAGTTTAAAGTAGCTAGAAGTAATCTACATTCGTACCAAAACAAAGGACAAGTCTTGTTATGGTTAGCTACCTGGCTAGGCCATACAAGTTCGTTAGCTGTTTTGAAATTTTCGCTACCTTCGCCACTTTCGGTATCCTCTGTTTCCCTGCCGCAGTGGATGCCATTTTGATTGGTTGTATGGTAGAGTCAATGAGAAATAACTATTACAACTGAATCATTAATACACGACGATTCGATCAGTTTTGAATATTTTCACAGCGCTCCGCCATGACACTTTCAAACATGCGCGGGTCAAACGTAACCTATGAACTGCAACCCTTCACCCCAACACGTCACCGAGCGTTGTGTTTCTATGGTTACACATCCCCATTAGCTGGAGCTAGCGTTAGTTTTACTTTATTTCTTAGTTTTAGTTGAATACAGGAGAACAAACAGTTATTGATACTTTATGTTTCAATAATGAGCTAGCTAAGCATGAAAGAGAAACCCTGATTTGCATCGTTGTTGCAAATTTGGAAGAATATATACGAGAACTTGAAAAATTATTGCTTCCACCAGGTGAGTTAGCGTTGATGTTAGGATAATTTGACAAGAATACTACAGGAGTGGACTCCAATGTGTAAATACTTGATATGATACCCTATAGCTAGTAATTGAATTATTACAGGAATGCATTTGTTGTGTTTTGGCAAATTTTGTATTGGCAAGCTATTTAAGTAGATTTTTTTCTCGTTACCTTTTCTCTCCCAAAATCAGAGAAAGATGAGGACCATAACTTCCTCGGGTGGCAAAGTTGAGACTGTGTCTGTGAGGAGAACAGAGTCATCAGATGCACATGAGATCAATAGCCTGATCAGTCCTGCCACAGTAGCAGTATTTGGAAGAGTAAATGTCATTCATCTACTGTGAGTATGCATAGCCTTAATCATGTCTGCCAAATGCATGCAACAGATATTCACACTCAAGGTGGAAAATATTTGTTGTTGCATCATTAGTTTAATTGTATCATATCAGAATGCAGAATGCATGAACATGCACTTGTACAGACCCATATCCATCCTGCCCTGCCTTTCGAAAGTATTTGAAAGCCAAGTTAACAAACAGATCACCGACCATTTCGAATCCCACCGTACCTTCTCCGCTATGCAATCCGGTTTCCGAGCTGGTCATGGGTGCACTTCAGCCACGCTCAAGGTCCTAAACGATATTATAACCACGATCGATAATAGACAGTACTGTGCAGCCGTCTTCATCGACCTGGCCAAGGCTTTCGACTCTGTCAACCACCGCATTCTTATTGGCAGACTAAATAGCCTTGGTTTCTCAGATGACTGCCTCGCCTGGTTCACCAACTACTTCTCAGATAGAGTTCAATGTGTCAAATCGGAGGGCCTGTTGTCTGGACATATGGCAGTCTCTATGGGGGTGCCACAGGGTTCAATTCTTGGGCCGACTCTTTTCTCCGTGTATATCAATAATGTCGCTCTTGCTGCTGGTGACTCTCAGATCCACCTCTACGCAGACGACACCATTTTGTATACATCTGGCCCTTCATTGGACACTGTGTTAACAAACCTCCAAACGAGCTTCAATGCCATACAACACTCCTTCAGTAGCCTCCAACTGCTCTTAAACACTAGTAAAACTAAATGCATGCTCTTCAATCGAACGCTGCTGGCACCCGCCCACCCGACTAGAATCACTACTCTCGACGGGTCTGACCTAGAGTATGTGGACAACTACAAATACCTAGGTGTCTGGTTAGACTGTAAACTCTCCTTCCAGACTCACATTAAGAATCTCCAATCCAAAGTTAAATCTAGAATCGGCTTCCTATTTCGCAACAAAGCCTCCTTCACTCATGCTGCCAAACATGCCCTCGTAAAACTGACTATCCTACCGATCCTTGACTTCGGCGATGTCATTTACAAAATAGCCTCCAACACTCTACTCAGCAAATTGGATGTAGTCTATCACAGTGCCATCCGTTTTGTCTCCAAAGCCCCATACACTACCCACCACTGTGACCTGTACGCTCTTGTTGGCTGGTCCTCACTACATGTTCGTCGTCAAACCCACTGGCTCCAGGCCATCTATAAATCACTGCTAGGCAAATCCCCGCCTTATCTTAGCTCATTGGTCACCATAGCAGCACCCACCCGTGGTCTGCGCTCCAGCAGGTATATCTCACTGGTCATCCCCAAAGCCAACACCTCCTTTGGCCGCCATTCCTTCCAGTTCTCTGCTGCCAATGACTGGAACGAATTGCAAAAATCTCTGAAGCTGGAGACTCTTATCTCCCTCACTAACTTTAAGCATCAGTTGTCAGAGCACCTTACCGATCACTGCACCTGTACACAGCCCATCTGAAATTAGCCCACCCAACTACCTCATCCCTATATTGTTATTTATTTTGCTCTTTTGCACCCCAGTATCTCTATTTGCACATCATCTCTTGCACATCTATCATTCCAATGTTAATACTAATTGTAATTATTTTGCACTATAGCCTATTTATTGCCTTACCTCCATAACTTGCTACATTTGCACACACTGTATATATATTTTCTGTTGTATTTTTTGACTTTATGTTTTGTTTTACCCCATATGTAACTCTGTGTTGTTGTTTTTATCACACTGCTTTGCTTTATATTGGCCAGGTCGCAGTTGTAAATGAGAACTTGTTCTCAACTGGCTTACCTGGTTAAATAAAGGTGAAATAAAATAAATAAAAAAATGGACCACAACCATTTATCCTGGCCTCACTGTCAGTATGTTGGTATCCTCAGAGAGAAGGCCAATCTGGCAGTGACCCTGAGCAATGCAAAGAATGAGGTCTTGGCCCATGCTGCCTTCTCCTATCACCCCATTGGAGACATTGTGGATCAAGCTTGTTGGGAAGCATTCCTGCATGACAATTACAGCACTGAAAAATACACGGTTTGTATCAACTAAAAGAGAGACTATACTTGTTCTTGTTTTCTTTCCTCTGTGGGTTTAACTGTGTTTTCTCGTTACCACAGCCTCTGAACACACTCTTCCTGCACCTCTTCGTGGCACAGCCGATCTTCTCCATCGGGAGTGCCAACGAGATTGTAAGGTAGGGAGCACAAGAGGTTGGTGAGGGGAGTATGGCTCCCAATAATGGCTGGAATGGAGTAAAGGGAATGGTATCAAACACATGGAAACCATGTGTTTGATGTGTTTGACACCATTCCATTTATTCCATTCCAACCATTACAATGAGCATGTCCTCCCCAATTAAGGTGCCACCAGCCACCTGTGGTAAGGAGTTTATTAATGTTTTCAATGTATGCAATCAGCAAAAAACTGAGTGGCAAAGTGAGCAGCACTAACAAGTGATGGCATGGCATTGCTCATAATCATGTAACAACCCCTTTCATAATGCAGGCTCAAAAATATTACATGTTCAACTTTTCCATAATATAATAAGACCAGGTTTGAATCCTGTTTGTGGCAACTAGTGATACAGCAGTCTGCCATTCCTATACCACATATGCTTTTCCAATTTGATTCCACAGCCATTCCATCAAATTTCAGCATGAGAAATTAGATTCTCATGATGTGATATTGCATGCACTGTATGTTCTTGACAGGGTGATGGATTGTGCAATAAGAACAGTAAACATCTTCTTCTTACAGAACTGTGTTCAATGCTATCACAGAGCTGCAATACATCTGCTTGGTCACCCCAACTAGTCGATGTCTAGGTAAGTGTGTAGTCCTTTTATTATAGAATATTAAATACAAAATGTGTAATCGTATTAGTAAACCTTCATCGTCATGTATTATAAAATATATGATTCTAAAGGATTCACAGTATGCCCACTCCCACTGTGTGTTTTCAGAGCGTGCCCTGGTAAAGATCTTTGAGCCCATGAAGAGTCTGAAGGATCCAGGGCCCCAGTGTTCAGCGTTTGTGTGCCACAGACACAACTATTGCCCAAGGCTGCATGTCCGCCGAGCCAGGTCCTCATAGTCATTTTAACACACCTGCGTTCTGTACCCATAGCACTTTTGCTTTATACTCTCAAATTTGATTTTGCAGTTCACAGTATGATAACTTACTTTTTGGAATTGATGTCTGGTGAGGACCTGCCTTACAACAGGCCTACAAGCCCTCAGTCCAGCCTTTCTCAGCCTATTGTGGACTGTCTGAGCACTGATGGAGGGATTGTGCATTCCTGGTGTAACTCGTGCAGTTGTTGTTGCCATCCTGTACCTGTCCTGCAGGTGTGATGTTCGGATGTACTGATCCTGTGCAGGTGTTGTTACATGTGGTCTGCCACTGCGAGGACGATCAGCTGTCCGTCCTGTCTCCCTGTAGCGCTGTCTTAGGCGTCTCACAGTACAGACATTGCTATTTATTGCCCTGGCTACATCTGCAGGCCTCATGCCTCCTTGCAGCATGCCTAAGGCACGTTCACACAGATGAGCAGGGACCCTGGGCATCTTTCTTTTGGTGTTTTTCAGAGTCAGTAGAAAGGCCTCTTTTTAGTGTCCTAAGTTTTCAACTGTGACCTTAATTGCGTACTGTCTGTAAGCTGTTAGTGTCTTAACGACCGTTCCACAGGTGCATGTTCATTAATTTTTTATGGTTCATTGAACAAGCATGGGAAACAGTATTTAAACCCTTTACAATAAAGATCTGTGAAGTGATTTGGATTTTTACGAATTATCTTTGAAAGACAGGGTCCTGAAAAAGGGCAGTTTCTTTTTTTGCTGAGTTATGTTATGTTATGCTATGTTATGCTATGTTATGAATTTGCAAAACGTATAATATGTTACGAATTAGCAAAAGGTACAATATGTTACGAATTTGCTAAATGTATGATATGTTATGAATTCTAGCTAGGTGTCTAGGTGGCTAACGTTAGCTAGCTGGGTTAAGGTTAGGGTTGTTTAGGAGTTAGGTTAAATGGTTAAGGTTAGGGTTAGGAGAAGGGTTAGCTAAAAGGGTTAGGGGAAGGGTTAGCTAACATGCTAAATAGTTGCAAAGTAGTTAAAAAGTAGAAAGTAGTTGAAAGTTGCTAATTAGCTAAAATGCTGAAATTGTCCATGATCAGATTCGAACAACCTTTAGGGGCGTTATACGCCCACCCATCCACCCCGACCAACCACCCTACTTTCGTTTTTGCCTTAAGTAACCATCTGTGTTATGTAACCATACCAAACGTAACATATACTAATTTCAGTGTCCCGGATTTACATTTACTATGTTACGTCAAGTCTATGAGACCAGGCTGTTATTTCAAAACCTTCACACGTATTTCTATTCTGATGATCCTTGGGTTGCTCATCGCTTTCATCAAATGATTGAAGCTTCTGTTACAGGGTGGAGGATCATGACGACCTCACACACATCTTTGCGGAGCAGACAAAGGCCCTCACAGAATGCTATGGGCCTTACTTTCTGGTTGAACTCATCGAGGCTCAGGATGACGAAAATCATGCAGCTGTTTGTGAGGTCAGCTATGTTTACAGTTTTATTTCTTTGTTGTCATGAGAATATATTTATTTCTCCTTAATACATTGCAACTTCAGCCAAAACCACAGGAGAGGAAAAAACGTTAGCCCTTATGATTATTAAGCTATGGATCAAGTCAGCCATTTTGTTCTTTCTGATGTTGTCTTTGTCTCTGATCCACTATCAGAGAGTTAAGGCCATTTAAAATATAATAACAGCGGTGCAGATGCTTTTGCCTGGTTCACAGAAATCCCGTTGGGGTCATTCCCCCGGGACTTAGAAGATGACAGATCTTTCCTCCCCTCCCTGCAACTCAAGCTGACACGTGTTCATGGCAGCATATGGTAGATGAGAGTTGACACTACCAAGACAGGCTCTCACTGAACATATTGTGTCCAGACATCTGTAGCATTTTGGGGGTTTTGCCTGGATGTGTTCTCCATTCAGAGAACAAACAGCACAACACTTCCCAAGAGGGTTGTGCTATTCAGGCCTCTCTTCCTCTTAAGAGCTTTGTCAATTATTTACTTATTGCCTAGAACAAAATACTGTAATTGGTCAAGTTTGATAGTATGCACATGTATATTACTAGTGTTGATACACTTTATTTTAATTACAAATGGCTTTACAGTAAAATGACTGTGACTGTCTGTCTGTGTTCTGTCTTCACAGAATGAGGGAACTGCTGTGGGTTTCATCAGTGTGAGTGGTGACATCAACTTGAAGCTGCTCAACGAGTGCTTTGAGCTTGGGCCCTTCAACGGTCTGTATAAGTCCAGTCCAGAGGGCCTGACTGAGACTGCCCCTGAGCCAGAGGGAGAGGGGCCTCCAGGGGACACCAACACCATCAGCCCACAGGGTACCACTGGAGAGGTACAGTATGAGATGAATCTGACCCAGAAGGACCCATGTGTCCAAGATTAACAATACTGTAAGGGTATAACAGATATGCCATTGTTAGGCACAATGTGACATATTGGTGTGATTACATGAATTGCAAGGTATCATCACAGGACGTGGACCAGACAAAAGATTTGGATCAAGGTGGCGTTACAGCAATACCCAGTGAAGTATCAGAGGTAAACCAATTATGAATTCCTTATGGTATTTCCTTTATATCCACCTAGCTATAGGCTTTCCTTCATCGCCTATTGATATATTAACATTGTATTGCTCTCATTGCAGCCAGGGGACAGCCAGGCTTGTGCTGCAGAGCCTCAGGATTCAGAAATGACTCTGGAACCAAGAGTCTCACTAACACCCAATGCATTCTGTATTCAGTTATTTGTAATCTACAAGACATTTGAAATGAGGTAAGTTCAGGAGAAAGTCATAACTCAATATTTGTATTTATTTATTGAAAGCAGGAACTCCCCTCAATGTACTCGGAACATTTCATTACTCTAGGACCAATAAAATGTATTCAAAATAGGTTCTGAAGTTTCAATATAGTTGGTTCGTTAATGGGAAAATGTGTTTTAAAGAAATCACTTTTCTAAAAAGTTTCTGTTTTGGAGATAAGATGTTTTGATCAAACAGTGACGATAATTTGATTACTAAGTAATTAATTGATTAAGTAGTTACCTAATAATTATACTGCCATTGTTTGGATGAGAGTTTAACTAACTCATTTGAAAAAAGGGTTTGTATTTGGAAAAATAAAGAGGAAATAAATTCCCATTAATCGAAGGTGATCAAATGTAGTTTTGCTTTCTCCACTTCATGAATCTGTTGAAACAACCTTTCACTAGTCATGGCAGCCCTCCAGTGTGTATCCGTCTTTAGCTGTGTGATTGTTAGCTGGCTCCCGCTGGGTCTCTCTCTCTATCGCCTTACTGTCCAGCTGTTCTGGAATATGGAAGCCAGTTACTCCCCACCGAGAATGAGCATGTAATTAATGAGTATGGTGCTTAAAGTGACAGCAACTTGAAGGAGAGAAGTACTGAGATGTGCGGATTGCTTGGCCAGATTGCTTGGCCAGTTGTTCCACTGCTGTGATCTCCATGTTGGCTCTGATTAGAGCCTTGGCAGAGACACAGTTTCATTTAACTTCCCTCATTCATCTCCTCCTACAGATCGGTGGACTTCCTGCCCAATATATTTAAACTTTTCCCTGTAAGTACCCCTCTAATAAGTCTTATTACTAAACCATTTTTGACGGACATCCTATACTCATTGATTTCCTCATTGTGGAGGCTCTTTGAATCTGAGGTTACTGCATGTGATAAGCATGAAGCCAATCTCCTTGTTTCCTCAACAGGACCGTGATTTCTGCATCATCTCTGTGCCCAAGTTGGCCCCTGAGTTCCCCCTGCTCCAGAGCTTCCTCAGGGTGGTACCACACCACACCAGCAGTCTGCCCCAGGAGCTCTACATCTTCCACCGCTCTGGCCTGCTCAAGTGGGTATTAGTATAGTCCCCAACAGAACATTTCAATAGTTTTAGCCATTGACATACATATAAGGTTTTAGCATGCATGTATCTCATTATTTATCTTACAAAGATCAAATTGAGATGGATGTTATTGGAGAATTGAAGAGAGACATGCTTTTGGGGGGAGAAATCCCTGGATGTGTATATACAATGGAAATTGCTTGTGTAATGTCAATCATGGTCTTGTTGTCTCCTCAGGACATTTGTCGTGACTCTGGCAGTGTCTGCGGACAGGCCTGCTGTCTGTGACATGGTGAAGAGACTCAGCCTGCATGATAGCCTGCTGGAGGACCTGGACATGTTTTACCAGGCCCATAGAGACATGGTCAGACACACACAGGGCATACTACTGCCAATAGGACAAGGAATAGTACAACAACCACTAGTTCCATTTACTTTGTTCTTATATAGCTAGTCTCAGTTTATCAATCAATCAATCAATCACACAAAAACTGTTCCAGAGTGATTACAATTATTACGTTGGAAGACTTGGAGTATCACTGATTGATTGATGGTTTTTGCAAGGAAGTAACTAATTACCATGTAAACCACATTTCCAGTGGTGATTGACACCCCAGCTGTCAAACATGACTATGACAGAGCTCCAACACAGATAATTACTTTGGAAATGAAAATGGAACCATATTTATGTGTAATCCTTAAGTCTAATATCTCATCTCTCTTTCTCTGTGTCTGTCTTCCAGGATGGAACACCCTTGCAGGCGTTTATAGCCCAAGTTCAGAACCAACTAGTTGGGATTGTAATTATCAGAAATGAGGAGGTAATTTTCTTGTTTATCTTCCCTAGACAGACTTCAATGGTATTTTGCTTTCATAGATTTAGTACTACTTAAACTCTCTCTCTCTCTCTCTCTCTCTCTCTCTCTCTGCCTCTCTCTCTGCCTCTCTCTCTCTCTCTCTCTCTCTCTCTCTCTCTCTCTCTCTCTCTCTCTCTCTCTCTCCTCTCTCTCTCTCTCTCTCCCCCTCCCTCTCTCTCTCTCTCTCTCTCTCTCTTCCCCCCCCCCCTATTTCTCTCTCTCTCTCTCTCTCCCCCTCCCTCTCTCTCTCTCAGGATATAGATTACATCCGAGCCAACTACAACATTGAGAACTTCATCTACTTCAGCCACCACCGCTATGAGGAGCACGGCCAGCTGTGTCACTTTGCCCTCAACCCCATCTTCCAGCACTACGCCAAACACTTCCTAAAGGAGGCACTGCGGCTGGCCCACAAATCCTGCCTCTACTACCCAATCTACCCCTCCTACCACAGCCAGAAGGTGAGAGAAACAGCCTGTAAAGCTCGTATTGACTTCTCACCTTACCCATTCCACTGTAATAATATAATAATATGCCATTTAGCAGACGCTTTTATCCAAAGCGACTTACAGTCATGTGTGCATACATTTTTACGTATGGGTGGTCCCGGGGATCAAACCCACTACCCTGGCATTACAAGCGCCATGCTCTTCCAATTGAGCTACAGAGGACCTCTGTGTGTGTGTGCATGTGTGTGTGTGTGCATGTGTTCATGTGTGCGTGCACATTGTGTTCACTAACAGATATTCATAAGTGCAGTGTTCCTCAGCGCCTGCCCAGCCACTCTTCACCAACTCTCTCTGGGATTGGAGCAGCAGGTGCTGATATAGGACTGCCAGGTCCACCTCTTTGGACTGTTAGAAGACATTTCCTCACTGTGTAGAGGCCTTCTCCTCATCCTCCTCCTTCCCCTCTGCTAATTAACTTCTACAAACATGCACCAGATGGTGAGGTGTAAATAGAATAATGGAATTATGGAAAATCTAATGGGAGAGGGAATCATCATTTGGGCAGTGGATGCTGGAGTATAGGGTTGGTCAGCCATGACTGAGGCAGTGGAAGGTCTATTCAGTAGAAGGGGTTTCTATTCAGGAGCACGTTGATGGTCGGGTAAATCGGATAAAACAACCTCTTCATCAGAACTAATTATGGCTGCGTCCCAAATGGCATCCCCTACAGAGCTCTTATGGGCCCTGGTCAAAAGTAGTGCACTATATAGGGAATAGGGTGCCATTTTGGCACCTGTTAGTCACCCCCCTCCTTTGCCTCCATCAATGGTATAGCTCATAGATATCACCTCACCTGACCCTTGCCCCTTTTCCACTCCCCTCAGAACTCGTGTGCCCATTACCTGACCTCTGTCCTGAACTTCATGGTCCCGGTGCGCCCGCGACGCCAGATTGTCTACCCTCTGGAGGAGCTGGGTATCAACGCGCCATCCAAGCAGATCACCAAGGACCAGGTGGGCACAGCAGCAGCTGATGAACAGGCTGGTTGGTGGTTTAACATGCCCGGGAATGCAGATGGGCAAGTACTCACTGTCTCCAGGTTAACAGAATGAGAGGGAGAGAGATGATAGGAGAAAGGGAAGTATCTTTAGTGTGTAATTTACATGCCCACAAGAGGGTGCTGTTTTAAAGTGGATGGATTCCCCACTTAGCATGGAGTTTTTAAAACCTAGATATTTGTTTCAAACAGTAAAATATTGTGATGAATATAATTCTAAAGTTATTTTATGTGAATGGTATTGTGATGGATAAAATTCAAAAGTTATTTTATGTGAATGGTGATTATTCCATCAAGGGTAAGGCACTCCATGGACAAACAGCATTGCAGTCTTGAACATTGCTTATAATTAGTTGTCAAGCTTTTTCAGTGGTATTGTATATGTATATATTTTATATAACTTTTCTTTAGTAGTCTTTCCACACACACCTCCCCAGGCTATTTTTAAAGGGCTTATATTAATATAGATGAGGGCAGCAGATAGTTGCTATGACAGATGGTTAGGAATGTTTGCCTCTGCTGTTAAACAGGTAAAGGAGCACAGTCCACTTACCACACAGTCAGTCATAAGCCAGTGTCTGCCGCACCTAGTCTGTGTCTCAATAGTTGTAACTAGCTTGGTCTCTTTGTGTCCTCTTCCTCCATGATCACTGATCTGGGTGATGGGAGAGGTGGAAGTGAAATAGTCTGTTCACCTAAAAGGTCATGAAAGAAAAGGAGACAAGGAAAGGAAGGCATTTCAAACTTAATCAAACACTTGTGTTGGATATGCAACAAATGTAATGTTATACTAAATCAGAACTTTATTAGAATTTGACCATTTGAATGTCACTAATCACAGCACATTCCTTTTTTTTTTTATATCAGCCTATATTCTTAAAGATGCACTATGCAGAAAACTGCTCCGCCATTTCCTGGTTGCTAAAATTCTAATAGTTCACCTAATTTCAGTTTATGTGACAAAACAAGCAAGTAGAGTGTAGAAAATCATTGTACCCTCTAAACCGCTGTGAAATATAATTTCCATAACCAAAATAAAGCTGGTGTACAAAGCCGAAAGTAAAAGAGGCAAAAACGAAATGTAAGAAGAAAAGAAATAGCGTACATAGAACAGATCTACCGCTTCTTAGACTTGCTTTCAATGAGAATGACAGATCTATAACTCACATTTCTATGTGAATTTGGTCGGGTCATCCAAAAAGTGACATATTGCAGCTAATAATATCCATAGAGCTGTAGTACACAGCATGTTCTGAACCATAAGATAGAAGCACAGTTATTCAACATGTTGCTGTGCTTTTTAATCTTAGATCATATAATCAATCTGACAGTACTAGTTCCTATATGTGTCACGTGTACCGCGTGGCACTCCCTTCTCCCTCAGTGTATTAGCAGATACACCTGCATTCGCCATTCCAGGCCATCCAATTTAAAACCCCCATTTAGTAACATGGCAACCATCATATCCAGGCTGCCATGTAGATAAGAGGATAGCAGAGCGCTGCCTCGCAGCTTTGTCTCTCAGTCTACGTCCAAAATAGCACCCTATTCCTTATATAGTGCATTACTTTTGACCAAAGCCCTATTGGTGCCATTTGTGAGACAGCCTCAGCCAAGTAATCTAAGCCTGGTGTCCAGCACAGATGTATTAATCAGATTTAAAGCACCTGTTCCCTCTCTGTCAATACAGGATCGTATTACACAGTGCCATGGTCACAGCACCCGGCCATTATGTTAGAGAAAAGGTTAGGATAAGGAATAGGGACGGCTGCACCTGCCCCACACTAGCCTAAACCTACCTGCCCCACACTAGCCTAAACCTACCTGCCCCACACTAGCCTAAACCTACCTGCCCCACACTAGCCTAAACCTACCTGCCCCACACTAGCCTAAACCTACCTGCCCCACACTAGCATAAACCTACCTGCCCCACACTAGCATAAACCTACCTGCCCCACACTAGCCTAAACCTACCTGCCCCACACTAGCCTAAACCTACCTGCCCCACACTAGCCTAAACCTACCTGCCCCACACTAGCATAAACCTACCTGCCCCACACTAGCCTAAACCTACCTACATATGACAGAGCACAAATCAGACCTGCACAGTGTTGTTTGGTTAGCTGGTGTATTTCAGGTGATTATTATTTAGGGGGTTCTTTACAAAGCAGAACAGATAATGTTCCTGCACTTGAATTACATAGGTTTGATTACATTTGGTCATTTTCACTTGAAGTCAGATTTTGAACTTATATTATATATGTTCTTTTAAGAACAGAGCAGGCACTACTGGGAATAACATAAATATTACTTGAAGGTTAATTCCACACCCAGGTTTCCCCTTCCTTTGTGGTGTGCTGCCATTTTCCATCCAACAAGGTGTGTAGGGGAACCAATGTAGCTAATTATGAATGCTCTAGGACCAATTAGCGCACTAAGATCACAGTGTAATTATTATCTGTGGATAACACAATGTTCTCTGCGTTCATTCTGACTCTGTACCTTCAAATCAAATCAAATCAAATTGTATTTGCCACATGCGCCAAATACAACGGGTGTAGACATTACAGTGAAATGCTTACTTACAAGCCCAACAATGCAGTTTAAGAATGCAAATAGTCTGGGTAGCCATTCAGGAGTCTTATGGCTTGGGGGTAGAAGCTGTTAAGAAGCCTTTTGGACCTAGACTTGGCGCTCCGGTACCGCTTGCCATGCGGTAGCAGAGAGAACAGTCTATGACTAGGGTGGCTGGGGTCTTTGATAATTTTTAGGGCCTTCCTCTGACACCGCCTGGTATAGAGGTCCTGGATGACAGGAAGCTTGGCCCCAGTGATGTACTGGGCCGTACGCACTACCCTCTGTAGTGCCTTGCGGTCGGAGGCCGAGCAGTTGCCATACCAGGCCGTGATGCAACCAGTCAGGATGCTCTCGATGGTGCAGCTGTAGAACTCTTTGAGGATCTGAGGACCAATGCCAAATCTTTTCAGTCTCCTGAGGGGGAATAGGCTTTGTCGTGCCCTCTTCACGACTGTCTTGGTGTGTTTGGACCATGATAGTTTGTTGGTGATGTGGACACCAAGGAACTTGAAGCTCTCAACCTGTTCCACTACAGCCCCGTCGATGAGAATGGGGGCGTGCTCAGTCCTCTTTTTTTTCCTGTAGTCCACAATCATCTCCTTTGTCTTGAGCACGTTGAGGGAGAGGTTGTTATCCTGGCACCACACGGCCAGGTCTCTGACCTCCTCCCTATAGGCTGTCTCATCGTTGTCGGTGATCAGGCCTACCACTGTTGTGTCGTCGGCAAACTTAATGATGGTGTTGGAGTCGTGCCTGGCCATGCAGTCATGGGTGAACGGAGTACAGGAGGGGACTGAGCACAGCGTGGCAGATGTGTTGTTACCTACCCTTACCACCTGGGGGCGGCCCGTCAGGAAGTCCAGGATCCAGTTGCAGAGGGAGGTGTTTAGTCCCAGGGTCCTTAGCTTAGTGATGAGCTTTGAGGGCACTATGGTGTTGAACGCTGAGCTGTAGTCAATGAATAGCATTCTCACGTAGGTGTTCCTCTTGTCCAGGTGGGAAAGGGCAGTGTGGAGTGCAATAGAGATTGCATCATCTGTGGATCTGTTGGGGCGGTATGCAAATTGGAGTGGGTCTAGGGTTTCTGGGATAATGGTGTTGATGTGAGCCATGACCAGCCTTTCGAAGCACTTCATGGCTACAGACGTGAGTGCTACGGGTCGGTAGTCATTTAGGCAGGTTATCTTAGTGTTATTGGGCACAGGGACTATGGTGGTCTGCTTGAAACATGTTGGTATTACAGACTCAGTCAGGGACATGTTGAAAATGTCAGTGAAGACACTTGCCAGTTGGTCAGCGCATGCTCGGAGTACACGTCCTGGTAATCCGTCTGGCCCTGCGGCCTTGTGAATGTTGACCTTGCGTTGAATGCTTTGACATTTGGAAATGTGTTTTCAATAGGGTCAGTACTCATAATAAAATAGTTCATGTAGGAGTGCTGCCACTTATTACGTTTCACTCAGCGTTTCCAGTGGAACCATCAAACATTAAGAAATGTCCATATTTTTGGTATAAACGCTACTAAAATAATATTAGGATTTTTTGTCTGAAAGCTGGTACTCTCTTTTAGGTAGTTAAGTGATGTGATAAATGCCCATCTCTGGGTTTTAGGCCATTGTCATTCAAAGAAACCCAAATGGGAAAATGGTGTGCACATTATTAATACAGCTTTTAGGAACGCAATAATTGTGTTTGTCGTCTATATTGGTTAGATTGCTGGTAATCAAACAGATGAATCTGTGACTTTTACACACGCTCTCTCTCTCTTCTCCTCAGGTCCCGTATGCTCTCAACCACATCAACCGAAAGCTAACCATGGAACCAAAAGTTACCATCAATGCCAGGATCGTGGTAGTGGGGGCATCAGACACTGGCTTAGCATTTCTGGAGGTGCTCGCTTTCTGGTATTGAGAAATTGTATACATGGCATTCATAAATTGCATTTAGAAATGTGTGTTTTAGAGGAAGCTCAATGTCATCCTCCTCTAGATGATTGTAGTTAGTGGGAGTGACTGGTAGGTATTAGAGCAGCAGTGATTAGTAGAAATATGAGTAGGGAGGAGACTAAAAGGCATACCCACCCAGAGCAACATGTGTTAATGCACTACCATCCCTTCTCCCACCAAGGCAATCTGTACAGCCTGCTTAGTATTGGCCTGAATTCATGGTTACCTTCAAACAAACACCAATACCACAACTTTTGTTATTACAGTATGTTTTGCTGAGGTTAAGAAAAGCTTATTTATGACTATCTACACATGCAGATTCTTGCTTCTCAAAGTCTTGATGTTTAGTTGATTTGATGAATGAGGCATTATAGTTCTAGGCTTGGATGAAAGCCTGCACACACGACAACCCTCCATGACCACAAGTAAAAACACTTGTCTAAAGTGTATGTCAACAGCATTCACTTTCAGAATGAGTTTTCTCCTTAATTCGTATTTTATTCCAGGCATCCTATCTCTGGAAATGTCGCCAGACCTTTTGTTGGCTAGAAAGAGGAGCTACATGTTTGCATTCATTCCATCTTTGAGATGAACTGTTCCTCCAGACAATATGGGGTCTAGGTCTGGTCATTCGCCGCCAGCCGATAACTGCCAAGCAACCAGGTCATTGTGTGTGGATGTGAAAGCAGCGCGGAAGGAGGGAACGTGCATAACTCAGGGAGGGGGTTGGCAGGCAGGGCGGCTGGGCGATGGGCACACAGCTGCCTGGGGCTGGCATTCAGGAGGGCCCGGCGCTGGCCCTTTAATTAGCCACTCCACTGTTCTCATGTCAGGGATCTTCTGCAGCGATCTGTGTTTGCTGTCACTAATGACTTGACTAATGAGGCAGTTAGTGTCCACTAAACTAATGGTGAGGCGGTGCTAGCAGTGGGCCGTCTGAGTGATGGGTCAGCTTGGGCCATGCTGGGCCCCCTTATCAGGCCAACCCAAACGGCTGGCCTCCAGCTTTCCATCCTCCTCCATCCAGCCCACCCTCCACTCCTCAGTGGGACAGGGTCAGATCAGGGGGAGCAGGGCAGACAGATAAAGAGGTGGTGGGGTGGCTCGGCCTCTCTGCCTGATGGTCAGTGGGGTGGGGGGAGTGGGGTGTCGGGTGTCTGTCAGCGCCTGATAACAGACAGACAGGAGCTGTTTTTTTGGTCACGTCCAGAGCCCAATAACAGGCCTTAATGCCTCTGCTGGGCGTTAAACCCACCTTCTTGCTCAGATTGACACGGAAAGTTGGATTGAAATGTGCTCTGATTATACTCTGTTCACCAGAAAACACACTGGATTAGGCTGCCGTTGTGAACAAAGACTATAGTTGAGCTTTTTCTCTATACAGCAAGCCAAGTGTTAAAATCTATCAACATTAAAGGGTTTTAATAACTATTGTGTGTTGACACATCAGTTTGTGTTGCCTGAAAGGGTATTTGTTCACTTCCTACACACATTTGCAACTTAGATATGGTGCATTCATTAGCCAAGATCAATCACTTTCCCTCCCAGAGAGAGGCAGCAGACTTGCAGGCGATCTAAAGCTTGACATGACATGACTCAGCCCAGTGTACATCTCCTTTTCACACAACACCATTGAGGCTTTCTCTGTTGTATCACCAATGGGGATAACGTCCATTTGGCACAGAACAAAGGAGGACATTTACATCACAAGAGACCTTTTACACTCCTGATTGTAAACGCATAAGAGGAACACTACAGGCCGGAGACAAAACCAGACCAAACAAAAGGAAGGGCTTTTACTATGAGGCTTAGAAAATAAAGGATTTTTAATGCATACCGATGTAGATGAAATGCAATAGGGGAATTAGGTGGAAGCATTCAGCTGCATCTGCGCCCACTCACTCAGCTCTCAGAGAATAACAGAACACTGCAGACAGAGAGAGCCTGTGCTCATTTCTCTGTGATGTGTTCTATTCTTCCTGGAACCCATGTACTATATGTTTGGTATTAGATGTTCCCCGCTACTACAAAATGGAACAGGAACGCTGAGAGATAATTATTGGCGAAATACAGCGTTTTGATCATCAGGTCAAGAGCATCTGTGTTTAGGTAGGATGAGGTCATCATTTCTGAGAAAATAAACATGATCCTATTCTGCACTGCACAGTAGCTGCACTCACGAGTCAGGGTTCTCTTCCCAGTAATCAGTATGTGCCTTTCCTTCTCCAGCCCACACCTGAGGTTCAATAACATGACTCTGATCTCCACGCATGGCTTCCCAGGCTACTACACCAATGAAAATATGAGATTCTTGTCCACAAGGTGAGACACCTGCAGCTTCTCTTGTTGTCATTTTAAGGCCTACATGGTAGACTGTAGTCATCAATGTCAATGGAAATCTCATTAACGCTTGGGCATTATTTCATCTTTGGTGTTCGAGGATGACTTATGACTTTCAATGGGCTCAATAATAGCGCTAGCATACTACAGAATTAACCTCTATTTTAGACTGACTTCACTCCCCCTCTCCACTACCCACAGCCATGGCTCCAGCGACAGGGACCATGCCCAGATGTCGCTGCGCTCCTGGATCAACGTGGTGACTGGCAAGATGGTGGGCATCGACAGGGCAGCCAAGCATGTGCTGGTATCTGGGGGCAGGAAGGTGCCATATGATCATCTCATCCTCTGTACAGGCCAGCAGTACCAGGTTAGAGGGACATCCTGCATATAATATTATAATTAGTAGTAGTATATATATACATATAATATGTTTTATGTCATAGTGTTGGGGGAAATTAAAGCACACTTTCTGTAGTGTCATCTATGGATTTTATTTTGTTACAATCGTCATCATTTCATAATCACATTATAATTCTGTATTGATGTTCTGAAACCTGAATGATTTCTGTGAGGATTTCTGGGTTCGTCCCTGCTAGGTTCCCTGTCCCACTGGTGTGGACAGCAGCCATCTTCCCCCCAAAAGCCAGCTCCCAGCCCAGCCCCGTCGTAGATACACCGGGCCTGTCCCATCCAACCTCTTCACCCTCAACGACCACCACGACTGTGTGACCGCTTACCAGTGGCTGCTCAACAACTTTGTGAAGCTGAAGGGTATGTATGTGGCCTGGATACCAATCTGTTTCTGCCATCATGCCACTCCTTGCCACTCCTTGTCATGCCAAGAAAAATGTGAGGAGTGACACATACAGGCTGGTAACCAGGTGAGTATGTACACTGACTGTACAAAACATTATGCTCTTTCCATGACATAGACTGACCAGGTGAATCCAGGTGAAAGCTATCATCCCTTATTGATGTCACCTGTTAAATCCACTTCAATCAGTGTAGATGAAGGGGAGTTGACAGGTTAAAGAAGGATTTTTAAGCCTTGAGACACTTAAGACAAGGATTGTGTATGTTTACCATTCAGAGCATGAATGGGCAAGACAAAATATTTAAGTGCCTTTGAACAGGGTATGGTAGAAGGTGCCAGGCACACCGGTTTGTGTCAAGAACTGCAACTCTGCTGGGTTTTTCACGCTCAACAGTTTCCCATGTGTATCAAGAATGGTCCACCACAGACTTTCGGTGACGCAATTTAGGCAAATGGCTGCAAGATTTATCGGTTGGGTATTTCCCCCACAAATTCAAGTATTTACTCTGAGTATTATAGTAACTTACGCTACAATAGAAAAGGGAAAAGCAGGAAAAGGTTGTGGAGTGACAACGATAGTCCGTAATAAGGTGTGACACAGAGATAAGGTGCGACACAGAGATGGCTAATACTAGCACAAACGAGCTAGCAGCAGCAAAATAACCCTAATTCTGTGAGGTGATAAAGGAGGAATTCTGCTTTCGGGAGGAACTCTGAGAAGAAAATAACTAAATTAGTTCAAGAAGGACATTAACCAGAAACTTGAAGAAAACAAAGAAGAACTTCACCGCATATTTACAAGAATGGGGGAAGCAGAACAGAGCATTGGGGAAATGGACACATGGAACACTGCGATCAAGGGAGAGATGCTGAAAAGAAGGAATTAATACAGCCCTATTAAGAAGGTACTAAAAGAGAAAGGGATTCGCTTCCAAACACCATTCCTGGCAAAGATGCAGGTATTTCTGGATAACGACCCGGTTTCATAGGTGCATGCAGACGAGGCGGCTGAGGACCTGAAGTCGAGGGGCGTCCCAGTGGAGTATACCACCAGGAGACACTCGAGCAGCTCCTCCCATGGACCGTGGTCGGCAGGTCGCGGAGAGGACGTTCACATTCGAGAGAGACTCCGGCATTTCCAACGAGAAGATCGAAGATACTGAATCGGATTTTACGGACTTAATAGTCACGGCGAGCTGTTAGACATATTGGACCATTATGGTTGACATTGCAAGAGGTAAAACAGCTCCCCTATTTTTCCCTACTGCTTTGTAAAGGTGAGAAGCCTAAAGTATGTGGCCTACATGAATACATTACGTATGGTCACGTTATTAACAGATCTATTAGCTAATGATGAATGACACTGACAACGTGGTGACAGAAGGACATACTGTATCATGGGGAGGATTCAATGAATGGACTGCATATGGTTGATGGCTTATATAGGCTATTCTAGGGTATAAGATACAGACCAGACTGTTTTTGTTCCATTATTTATCCCCTGTTACATTATACTGCTTTTTTTCTCTTGTAAATAACCGATGTGAGTAGGCGACAAAAAAGGCGTCCTTTTTATTTTGATGCTTGAGTAAGGGGCCCCTCCAGAGGTCAGGCTCATCCCCTCAAACTCCAGAGGCAAGGGACAATCCTCTGACATGGGAGTCCTTATAGCAAAGGCTCTTCCCACTTTGGTTTACTTTTCTATTCTTCTTCTTTTTATATATATTTATTTATTTTTGGTTCATGTTAAGCCGGCTGTTATGGTACACAGGTTTTTGGGTCTATATTGATGCATCATCGGGAATTGAAGGTCATCAGTCTCAATGTAAAAGGACTGGGGAGTGCCATCAAGAGAAGTAAGGTAATAGCAAAGATGAAACGGGAGAGAGTTGACATATTATTCTGACAGGAAACTCTTTTATCCCCTCCTGAACATGAGAAACTTAAGAAAATGGGCTATAGGAATAGCTTTTTCTCTAATTATAAAACGGGTAGAAGGGGCGTTGCAATTGTTATCCCAAATTCAGTTAATTTTGAGTTTATATCAGAAATAAAAGACAAGGAGGGGAGATTTATCCTTGTTAAATGTAAACTGGATAACAATGAAGTTACATTGTTGAATGTATACACGCCCCCGGGGAGTGAAATGGTCTTCTTTAAGAAGGTGTTTGATTTAATTGCCTCAGAAACCTCTGGCACTCTTATCTGTGGAGGGGATTTTAACATGATTTCAAACTCAAAATTGGACAGCACAGATCAAAATAGGAACATAAGTCTGGTTGCTAAAAAGATCAAAACGATATTACAGGAATTTAGGACTGATTGATGTATGGTGCGACTTCCATATGTCAGAAAGGGAATATACTTTTTGCTCAGCCCGCCACACTAAGTACTCCAGGTTAGACTACTTTTTACTCAGCCCACCACACTGAATACTCCAGGTTAGACTACTTTTTACTCAGCCCACCACACTGAATACTCCAGGTTAGACTACTTTTTCATGTACAGTGCAGATAGGTACAGACCTAAGGATTGTAAGCATCGGGCAGAGGGATCATAATGGAGTTTACCTAACTCTACACCTTGATAGCAAACCAATAAATACTATATGGAGGCTTAATACAAGCAAGCTGAATGAGCCAGCATTCAAGGAATCAATAAAGACAGAATTGAACGTCTATCTGGAGAATAATGATAACGGGGAAGTATCCCCTGCTAAGGCGGTTATAAGAGGGAAGATCATAGCCTCATCATCTCTCAAGAAAAAGATTAAAGCACAGAAACTTCTGAAATTACAGGAAACATTAGGAAGCTTATAACGATCTCATAGTCATCTCAAAGACCCTCTTATATTACGTGAGATTCTTTAGGTAAAACAGGAAATTGACCAGATACAGTGAGGGAAAAAAGTATTTGATCCCCTGCTGATTTTGTACGTTTGCCCACTGACAAAGAAATGATCAGTCTATAATTTTAATGGTAGGTTTATTTGAACAGTGAGAGACAGAATAACAACAAAAAAATCCAGAAAAACGCATGTCAAAAATGTTATAAATTGATTTGCATTTTAATGAGGGAAATAAGTATTTGACCCCCTCTCAATCAGAAAGATTTCTGGCTCCCAGGTGTCTTTTATACAGGTAACGAGCTGAGATTAGGAGCACACTCTTAAAGGAAGTGCTCCTAATCTCAGTTTGTTACCTGTATAAAAGACACCTGTCCACAGAAGCAATCAATCAATCAGATTCCAAACTCTCCACCATGGCCAAGACCAAAGAGCTCTCCAAGGATGTCAGGGACAAGATTGTAGACCTACACAAGGCTGGAATGGGCTACAAGACCATCGGCATGTAGCATGGTGAGAAGGTGACAACAGTTGGTGCGATTATTCGCAAATGGAAGAAACACAAAATAACTGTCAATCTCCCTCGGCATGGGGCTCCATGCAAGATCTCACCTCGTGGAGTTGCAATGATTATGAGAATGGTGAGGAATCAGCCCAGAACTACACGGGAGGATCTTGTCAATGATCTCAAGGCAGCTGGGACCATAGTCACCAAGAAAACAATTGGTAACACACTACGCCGTGAAGGACTGAAATCCTGCAGCGCCTGCAAGGTCCCCCTGCTCAAGAAAGCACATATACAGGGCCGTCTGAAGTTTGCCAATGAACATCTGATTGATTCAGAGGAGAACTGGGTGAAAGTGTTGTGGTCAGATGAGACCAAAATCGAGCTCTTTGGCATCAACTCAATTCGCCGTGTTTGGAGGAGGAGGAATGCTGCCTATGACCCCAAGAACACCATCCCCACCATCAAACATGGAGGTGGAAACATTATGCTTTGGGGGTGTTTTTCTGCTAAGGGGACAGGACAACTTCACCACATCAAAGGGACGATGGACGGGGCCATGTACCATCAAATCTTGGATGAGAACCTCCTTCCCTCAGCGAGGGCATTGAAAATGGGTCGTGGATGGGTATTCCAGCATGACAATGACCCAAAACACACAGCCAAGGCAACAAAGGAGTGGCTCAAGAAGAAGCACATTAAGGTCCTGGAGTGGCCTAGCCAGTCTCCAGACCTTAATCCCATAGAACATCTGTGGAGGGAGCTGAAGGTTTGAGTTGCCAAACGTCAGCCTCGAAACCTTAATGACTTGGAGAAGATCTGCAAAGAGGAGTGGGACAAAATCCTTCCTGAGATGTGTGCAAACCTGCTGGCAAACTACAAGAAACGTCTGACCTCTGTGATTGCCAACAAGGGTTTTGCCACCAAGTACTAAGTCATGTTTTGCAGAGGGGTCAAATACTTATTTCCCTCATTAAAATGCAAATCAATTTATAACATTTTTGACATGCGTTTTTCTGGATTTTTTTTTTGTTATTCTGTCTCTCACTGTTCAAATAAACCTACCATTCAAATTATAGACTGATCATGTCTTTGTCAGTGGGCAAACGTACAAAATCAGCAGGGGATCAAATACTTTTTTCCCTCACTGTATATAGTGAAGAAGTAGAGAAAAAGCTCAGGTTCCTGAAACAACGATATATGAAGCAGGCTCAAAGGCAACACAATTACTAGCATGGAGACTCAGAAAACAACAAGCACAGAATACAATTTGTGGATGAAATACAGAATTTGTTGATGAAATACAGAATGCATTTTAATCATACTATACAAATATGTACAAGCAACCAGATAACTCACTTGATCTCCCCTCAATTGGGACAGAGCAAAATGATAGACTTACTTCAGAAATAACCACTGACAAAATTAATAATGCAATATCTAATCTAAAAGCAAACACATCTCCAGGCACTGATGGCTTCCCTTCAGAAAGGTTCAAAGCCTTCAGAGAACAACAAACACCTCTACTTCAGGCCTGTTTGAATTGGACTCTGCAGGAGGGGGCTCTACCACCATCGTGGAGAGAAGCCATAATATCTGTAATTCC